ACTCCCCTCATACAACGAATTCTGCCAGATAATATCCTCCTCCACTGCCACCACCGACCAAGATCCTCCTCCAGGCAGTAAGTAATACTCCAATACCCCTCACACAATGGACTCAGACACAGAGCGCATATGGAAAACAAAAGCAAACCTCCATAGTGCAACACTGTTTAATGAACTAGAATGATATAGTGAAACATTACACTCACATGTCCTCAAAAAACGAGAAGCAGTTTCCCATATGCTATGGGTGTATACAGGTGTCCAAAGATGGCGTCCGAACCCGGAACCACGTCACCCCTACGTCGACGCGTTGCGCCACGATCACGTGGATTCTTCAGCTTTTGTTTTCCATATGCGCTCTGTGTCTGAGTCCATTGTGTGAGGGGTATTGGAGTATTACTTACTGCCTGGAGGAGGATCTTGGTCGGTGGTGGCAGTGGAGGAGGATATTATCTGGCAGAATTCGTTGTATGAGGGGAGTAATTGGAGTGTTACTTACTGCCTGGAGGAGGATCAAGGTCGGTGGAGGCAGTGGAGGAGATTAATATCTGGCAGACAGATATATATATTTAAAGCTCTGTGACCCGCAAGGGTCGAATGTGGAAGGTGAGGGGGCATTTCTGCTATTGAGGGGAGTCACGTCAAGATTTTCACGAAGAGCACTATTGTAGCATGGAGTGACATTATTTGAACACTTTTCTATAATTTTGCACAGTGTGGCATCACTATTTAATTTATTGTAATTAATATTTTATTTAAATTGGTATAATTAATTGTATTTTAGTATCACTTTTGCACAGTTTAAGAGATATTAGTTGTTTATCACTATATCACCAGGGATATATTATGCATATATGAGGATATTGCACTAGTTTTTTCATTATTATTATTTTGCATATCTGTATAGCTTAAGAGTTATCATTTCTGTATCATCATACCACTAGGGATATTTATATATGGGGATATTGCACTAGTTTTTGATTATCTAAGTTGAGCGCTTCACCACTTATATTATTTTTGTTTTACATATCTTGCGGTATAGAGAATAGGTGATAGCAGCTAACTCACTAGGTTCTGTGGAGCGCAGGGGGATTTCTGTATATTTAGGTCTCTAATGATTGCATAGGCTACATTCTCAGTGATGTCACTGGTCTCTAGCAAGTGGATAGGCTGAATTCTCAGTGAAGTCACCTGTTTCCTGTGAATGTATAGTCTGCATTTCTAGTGAATGTAAAGGCTGCCTTCTCAGTGATGTCATCAGTGTCTAAAGAACGGACAGGATGCATTCTCAGTGATGTCATCAGTGTCTAAAGAATGGAAGGGATGCATTCTCAGTGATGTCATCAGTGTCTAAAGAAAGGACGGGATGCATTCTCAGTGATGTCATCAGTGTCTAAAGAATGGACAGGATGCATTCTCATTCTCAGGTGATGTCACTGTCTCAGTAAGTTGATAGGTCTCTCAGTGAAGTCACCTGTTTCTAGTGAATGTATGCTGCCTTTCTCAGTGAAGTCACACTGTCTCTAGTGAATGTAGTGATGTAGGACGGGATGCATTCTTCTCAGTGATGATGTCATCAGTGTCTAAAGAAGTTGGACTGAATTCTCAGTGAAGTCACCTGTTTCGGGATGCATTCTCAGTGATGTCATCAGTGTCTAAAGAAACAGGACGAGATAAAACATTCTCAGTGATGTCATCAGTAAAGAATGGACAGGAAAGATGTCATGGAAGGATATGAATTCTCAGTGAAGTCATCTCAGTGAATGTATAGGCTGCCTTCTCAGTGATGTCATCACTGTCTAAAGAACCGACGGGATGATTCTCAGTGATGCATTCTCAGTGATGTCATTCTCAGTTTCTAATGAATGTAAAGGCTGCCTTCTCAGTGATGTCATCAGTGTCTAAAGAACGGACGGGATGCATTCTCTGTGATGTCATCAGTGTCTAGTAGAAGTCACGGACTAGTGAATGATGCATTCTGTGATGTCATCAGTGTCTATAGAACTGACAGGATGCATTCTCAGGGTGAAGCGTATGTAAACTCTAAGGCTACAGGTTCACACCAGCGAGTGTCTCAGGACTGGTGTGTCACCTGTTTCTAATGAAATTGTGGCAGCTGTGATGTCATCAGTGTCTATAGAACTGACAGGATGCATTCTCAGAAGTCCTGGTGTAAACTGTGGCAGCAAGTCCATTGGGGCTCTCAGGGGGGTAGGTGCAGCCACTGACCCCAATCACTATAATGACAGGTTACTGGCAGCTGCACCTATTTGTGGCAATTTGCACAGCTACTGGCATAGTGATTCGGCGGCCAGAGGCTGCTGGTAGCCACAGCAAGAATCCTTGCCGCTACCTATTAGCACTGGCCCTAAGCACTGGTGTGAATGTAGCATAACAATACATTTTTCTTATTTGTTCCCTTTTGGTCTGTTAGTCATACCATTGTGAAAGCGTACTACAAAACACCTCCTCCTGTTATGGAGACAAGAGGAAGATGTTATGTATTTCTAACACAATCCTTTTCCTGAGGCAAAAAAGCTACTCAGTACAGTTGTCACCCTAGGACAGGAAGGGCATTAACCCCAAGATTACTTAGTTACAATAAGGAAATAGATGTGGCTGCATTTGCTTTCTTTTTTCACACTTTGTGACCAAAAAGCTCCAGTATTCCCAATTTTGTTCCTGGTTTAGATTTGCTGTACATCAGGTTGAGGGCACAAATTAGCACGATGGTGACTTTTGCACAGGTTTGCAATCGATAAAAAAAAATCTAAAAATGACAACAGTGGTCACTTATGTGAGCAATTGATGCCTGCGCAGTGAATGCAAATGTCATCTGATGTCATTGTTGGGACCTGGAGAGTAAAGTGGTGCTAAAAGGCAAAAGGTTTTCTACCTTAATACATTCTCTGCATTAAGGCAAAAAAAAACCCACAACTTTCCAATAACAGCCCCCCACCCACCCAAGGGACAGTTGGAGGAAGCTGCATGGGCTGCACACACATGACCAGGGGCGTATTTACCACAAAACAAACAAGGCACTTGCCTAGGGCAGCATTTTTCAGGGGGGCAGCACCTCCCCCCAGAAGAGATGGAAGAAGGGACCTGAGTGCCATGGGAACCCAGGTGGGATCTGAGAGAGGCTGTGGGCTGCTTGACTGTGTATTTAGAGCCGGACTCTCATTCCTGGGGATGTCCAGAGCTGTGTAGATGGGTGTCTCTCTCAGGGGGGGGATGGGAATTAGAAGGCTCTCACAGGTGGGTTGCTGTTGGTCAATGTCTGGCTCTCTCCACGGAAGGGGGAAGGGGGTTGTTGGTCAGTGTCCGTGGAGAAAGACGATTTGTGTGTTGCCTAGGGTATCACAAAACCTAAATACACCCCGGCACGTGACATCCAGTTGAGTTTCAGGCAATCTAGATGTGTTGGTGAAGGGTGGCTACACCATAGTTACGTATAGTCTACAGTTATGGCTGCATACACTCTCCGGTCACTTTAATAGGTACACCTGTTCAATTGCTTGACAACACCAATTGCTAATCAGCCAATCACATGGAGCAAACTCAATGCAATTAGGCATCTAGACGTGGTGAAGACTTGCTGAAGTGCAAGCTGATCATCAGAATGGGGGAAAGAAAGGGCATTTAAGTGACTTTCAACATGGCATGGTTGTTGGTGCCAGACAGGCTGGTCTGAGTATTTCAAAAACTGCCAATCTACTGGGATTTTCAAGCACAACCATCTCCAGAGTTTACAGAGAATGGTCCGAAAAAGAGAAAATATCCAGTGAGTGGCTGTTGTGTGAACAAAAATGCCTTGTTGATGTCAGACAACGGGCAGACTGGTTCAAAGTGATAGAAAGACAACAGTAAGTCAAATACCCGCTCATTACAACCAAGGTATGCAGAATACCATCTCTGAACGCACAACACATCGAAGCTTGAAGTAGATGGGCTACAGCAGCAGAAAACCACTCCGGGTGCCACTCCTGTCTAACATCAGGAAACAGAGGCTGCAATTCACACAGGCTCACCAAAATTGGACAACAGAAGACTGGAAAAACGTGGCCTGGTCAGATAAGTCTCAATTTCCCTAGAGATAACTGTGCGTGAAAATCCCAGTAGATCGGCAGTTTTTAAAATATTCAGACTAGCCCGGCTGGCACCAACAACCACACCACGCTCAAAGTCACTTAAATCCCCTTTCTTCCCCATTCTGATGCTCAGTTTGAACTTCAGCAAGTCGTCCTCACCAGGTCTAGATGCCTAAATGCATCGAGTTGCTGCCGTGTGATTGGCTGATTAGCAATTTGTGTTACCAAGCAATCTAACAGGTGTACCTAATAAAGTGGCCGGTGTGTGTATTGGAACCATGGGAGTGCAATATTATGGTTTTAATCTATTTTATTCAAAATTTACTACGGTAGAAGTGTACTGAATGTCTGGCCAAAAAACAAACAAACCACACAGTACAGGTAAATCTTAGTAAAATGAAGTAACAATTTACTTTCGAACTCCAAGACACAATTTGTTGAAAAACGTTTATTGGCAATGTTTGAAAACGGATGATGTAAAACTATGAGAAACGACTGAGGTCTTGCGGAAGTGATAAAGAAAACCAATCGATATAAATAAGTTATGTAGTATCGAGTTTAGGATTAATAAACACATTATATTCTTGCAAAAAAAAAAAAAAAAAAAACCACAATGGTGACCGCGTCTGCTGAATATAAAGATATAAAGGCTCAGAGAAAAGTCCCGCGGAACTCAGCGATTATCCAAAAAAAACAAAAAACAAAAATGATTTTTAATCATAGAAGCATATATTATAGTGAGCGGCGTCTGTAAGTACCAAACCTTAATTAAAAGAGTTAAAGGATCCTAATTCATGCATATCGCTATGTATTAAATGGCCATATGACGGTGCTTAAAAGAGGACCCCCAATCGCTGGACAGTGGCTCAAATAAAAGTCTAAATAAACATCTACTATATTACTCCTTTATTACATCTGTTGGGTAGAATTTCCATTCCACGTGTTGTTTTCATCTTCATCGTCTTGCGTTCTTAACCTGTAAATTTTGCCTTCTTTTTTGAACTCGTCTGACCGTTTGTCAAGTACTCTCCTTCGAACTGGTTCCCTGTGGAACAATGCAAAACAAATTAAAATGTATCTAAATCCCCAAACAAAAATGCAATATATTGCAGCTTACCAATCCTCCGGTGTGGTGGCTGCATTTGTTTTCTTTGTTCAGGGTTGTTTTCCTTTATTTTCACCTGGTGATCCTGCCACTTCCTTTCACTTACTCGCCTAGAGGGGCAATGCTCACTAAGGCTAGGTTTATATCTGTGCGGGTGGTGCCGCTGCGGATTCGTACGAAAAGCCATGCATCCACACCACCTGCACAGAGGAATGTGGACTCGCTGGCGGGTGCCATTAGTTCTAATGGCACACTGCCCACACTGGAAAACGCAACCGCACTGGGAACGTGGCCACAAAATGCGGCCTACATATAGGTGAACCAGGGGTAACTGTACTGCATTTATGGAGGAATAGGATTGTCACCCTTGAACAAGAGGTAGATCAGGTCTAGAGAACACAACTCCTGCTCCAAAAAAAATGGGGGGGGGGGGGGGATGTTGGTGCAGGGAATTATTATACAGTATTTATAAAGCGCCAATAGTTCGCTCAGCGCTGTACATTACAATGGGGGACAGAACATGTGACAGAACAATACCAATACAATGCAAAACATAAGGGGATCGAGGGCCCTGCTCCTTGGAGCTTACAATCTAGGAGGGAGGGGATGGTGGCACAGGAGGAGATAGCTGTGGGGGATGGAGTGGTAGGAAGAGTGGAGGAGGTCGGCAAGTTAGCAGGGGGTGGGGTAGGCTTCCCTGAAGAGATGGGGATTTCAGGGTGCGCCTAAAGGAGAGGAGAGTAGGTGATAATCTGATGGGTTTGGGCAGGGAGTTCCAGAGGATGGGTGACACCCTGGAGAAGTCCTGGAGGCGGGCATGGGAGGAGGAGACCAGGGAACTAGAGAGAAGGAGGTCTTGTGAGGAGCGCAGGAGTGTGCGTGTTGGGCGGTACTTGGATATTAGGTCAGTGATGTAGTTCGGGGCAGTATGGTGGACAGCTTTGTACGTCAGTGTTAGGATTTTGAATTTGATCCGTTGCGCAATCGGAAGCCAGTGGATGGATTGGCAGAGGGGGGTGGCGGAGATGGAGCGGTTGGAAAGGTGAATGAGTCTGGCAGCCGTATTCAGGATGGACTGAAGCGGGGATAGCCAGCGGCGAGGCAGGCCAGTGAGGAGGGAGTTGCAGTAGTCGAGTCGTGATATGATGAGGGAGTGGATGAGCTGTTTAGTGGTTTCTGGGGTTAGGAACTACTAATATAGGTTCTCATGTGGGGAAGTGCAAGGACTTCTTCCCTGCGTGTCCTGGGGCACGGGAGTCTATTCAAACGAATGGGCTCTCGTGCCCATGCAAAATGTGGCCCACATATATGTGAACCAGGGCTAACTGTACTATATTTATGGAGGAATAGGATTGTCACCCTGGAACAAGAGGTAGATCAGGTCTAGAGAACACATCTCCTGCTCCATAATATTGGGGGGAAGGGGGGGTGTTGGTGCAAGGAATTACTAATATAGGATTCATATATTATAGAATTATATATTGGAAGTGCATCGGGTATTTTTTTTTTCCACTTATCGAGCAATCTTATTCAATGGCATTTTTAGCAAACCAAAAAGGCAGCAAATAAAGGAAGCAGTTTATAGTTACATACTTTGCGCTCCTATAACTAGTTCAAGCAGAACGTCATTCCCTCCATCAGAACTGACTATTTCTAATCCTTATGCTAGCATTAGTAAACAGATCGTATTTACTTGATTTAAACTTTCTTCTTTTACATTTCTTCAGTTATTTCCCTGGTTTTAATGTCTGGACCAGGGGTGGGTAGAACTACAAGTCCCATGAGGCATTGCAAAACTGACAGCTACAAACATGACTCCCAAAGGCAGAGGCATGATGGAACTTGTAGTTCGCCAACAGCTGGAGGGCCACAGTTGCCCACCCCTGGTCTAGACAAATGACGTCATACATCCCAGGAGTCTTCAGGAGGGGAGGGAGGGGTTTTATCAGCTAAGCACACCTTTCTGCATGCCTGCGCTAAGGGCAGATGGATTCCAGGAAGCAAATGCGGCATGAACCATCTGCCCTTACTCAAGATGGCCATGACCAGGAATGCTAGAGTGTGTTTTTTAAGAAGTGATTTCTGAATAAAGCATGGAGACATGGATGGATGGGGGAGCTTGCTTTGAATATTAAAAATGAATTCAAATAGTGTTTTTGGTTTGTAGTGCTCAGACACAGTGTAGTTCCACTTTCAGCTCTTTGGACAATAGCAGCCATCAGCTTGTACTCCATTTGTTCAACTGGCTTCCGGCTTCAAAGTGAAAATGATGCGGTGGCTCTATAGTCAGCAATCAGTTTCATAGAGCAGGCGGCACGGTGTCTCCCCCCCCCCCCACCTTAGATCCAATTGTGGATCATGCTTAATGGGCAGCACAGTGGCTAAATGGTTAGCACTTCCGCCTGGCAGTACTGGGGTCACTGGTTCAAATCCCAACCACAGCACCACCTGCCTGGAGTTTGCATGTTCTCCCTGTGCCTGCGTGGGTTTCCTCTGGGTACTCCGGTTTCCTCCCACACTCCAAAGACATGCTGGTAGGCTAATTGGCTCCTGTCTAAATTGTCCCTAGTATGTGTATGTATGAATGTGAGTTAGGGACCTTAGATTGTACCCCCCTTGAGGGTTAGGGACTGATGTGAATGTACAATATATATGTAAAGAGCTGTGTAAATTCACAGTGCTATATAAGTACCTGGAATAAATAGAGGAAAGCAAGGTTTAGATGCACATCTAAAATCTACTCCAAGTCAATTTGCTTCACAAAAATATAAAATTGGCAAAAAAAAACAAAAAAAAAAAAAACCCACCAATCATAAACGCGCTATGCTCTTGGAACTAATTTTTTTGTTTCAGTATCTAAATGCAGCTCGACAGAACGAAAATATGGGGTCTGTCACTGGGAGGATTTGTCCCCAACACCCTGTTCTGTTGTCAAACACCCCTCAAACAGACCGGAAGTTGGGAGATTTTTCCCTCACTCAAAATAAACAGGAAGTAAAAAGGGAAATTTTCCCAAACGGAGACACATACAGCAAAAACACATTAACAGACGTTCTACCCTCTGCAACTCATGCAAAATAAAATGTTCAATTTAAATTATCTAGCTGTATTACACGTACATACAAAATGTGTTCAAAGTCTTAAAGCCCCTTAAAGCTGCTGGGCTTAAAAATGTGGTATGGTTTTAAAAAAATAAATAAATACTTCTAATGCATTTTTGTGTGCTTTCTAGTTTTCCCGATTCCCAGAAAAACAGAAAAAAAAAGAAGACTCAAAAAACATGCAGATGAGGTGTGCTTTTGAAGTGTTCCCATTGACTTACAATGGTAGGTGTGTTTTTGCAAAGCACACCAAGGATGCAGCATGCAACGCTGTTAAAAATGCAGGCCAGCAATGTGAACAGTTACATAGGATTTAAAAGGGAATCATTTTCATGCACTTTTGTGGTGCTGGATAGGTGTATTTTAGCGTGCCAAAAGTGCACCAGTGTGAAAGGGGCTTCACAGTTCATTTTCTTTACAAAGCAGACACAGCCTGGGTAAGTAAGCCAACCGCTGCAGAGACGGACTGTGTGGAAGCAGTGGTCTCTCTGCAGAAGTCCAACATGTCCCCTATTTGTGTACTATTTATTTATTTATTTCAGATACTTATATAGCGCCATTTGCGCACTTTTTTTTTTTTTTTTATTAACATATATATTGTACATTCACATCAGTCCCTAACCCTCAAGGGGTGTACAATCTAAAGTCCCTAACTCACATTCATACATACACATACTAGGGCCAATTTAGACCGGATCCAATTCACCTACCAGCATGTCTTTGTGTGTGGGAGGAAACCAGAGCACCCAGAGGAAACACACGCAGGCACAGGGAGAACATGCAAACCCCAGGCAGGTGGTGCCATGGCTGGGATCTTCTCATTGATAGCAACGATGGGGTACTAGTCTTCTCATTGATAGCAACAATGGGGTACTAGTCTTCTCATTGATAGCAACAATGGGGTACTAGTCTTCTCATTGATAGCAACAATGGGGTACTAGTCTTCTCATTGATAGCAACAATGGGGTACTAGTCTTCTCATTGATAGCAACAATGGGGTACTAGTCTTCTCATTGATAGCAACAATGGGGTACTAGTCTTCTCATTGATAGCAACAATGGGGTACTAGTCTTCTCATTGATAGCAACAATGGGGTACTAGTCTTCTCATTGATAGCAACAATGGGGTACTAGTCTTCTCATTGATAGCAACAATGGGGTACTAGTCTTCTCATTGATAGCAACAATGGGGTACTAGTCTTCTCATTGATAGCAACAATGGGGTACTAGTCTTCTCATTGATAGCAACAATGGGGTACTAGTCTTCTCATTGATAGCAACAATGGGGTACTAGTCTTCTCATTGATTACAACAATGGCGCACTATTCCGCCAAACTCCAGGCAGGTGGTGCCATGGTTGGGGTTCAAATCAATGACCGTTATACTGCCAGGCGGAAGTGCTAACCATTTAGCCGCTGTGTACAATGATAATTCACAAGACTTCACTTACCTCTTTGGCTCTGAATTGTTGGATGATGTAGGATTTGTGTTCTCCTGCGGGGGGTAGGTTGCCCTGTCTGAGTGATGTGCGGGAGGTGGGCTGCTGAACAGGAAATTGCTGATAAACCGCCATACTGCCAGAAGAGGGTAAAACAGTGTACCCAGAAGCCCCCATATACCACCATCTGATGACTGTACTACAGCCCGAGCTGGTCTGCCAGCCTGTAAAAGAAAAGAATGACAAAATCAGTCTTTTATCAGTAAGACAGGACAAGTAACTGATCACATAAACCAGACAAAGAACAAGAACCAACGTTGCTGTGCATCAGATATATGAAACAAATTGTGGTTGTCGGTCTTGTAGCTTAAAAGGACCCTTTCATTTTTCATCACAATCTGTAACAAAGTTCTAGAAGGTGATCTATATATATATATATATATATATATATATATATATATATATATATATATATATATATCTATCATCTTAGATTGTAAGCTCCCAGGATCAGGCCCTCCTAACCCTCTTGTATTGAACTGTATTGTTGCTGTATTGTCTCCCGTTATATTGTAAAGTGCTGAGCAAACTGTTGGCGCTATATAAATCCTGTATAACAATAATAATAATAATAATAATAATAAATCCTGTATATTAACCAATTCAATACCGGGCAATTTTACACCTTCCTGCCCAGGCCAGTTTTCAGGTTTCAGCACTCTCACACTTTGAATGACAATTGCGCGGTCATACAACACTGTACCAAAACTAAAATTTTATCATTTTCTTTAGACAACTAGAGCTTTCTTTTGGTGGTATTTAATCACCGCTGGGGTTTTTTATTTTTTGCTAAATTAACAAAAAAAGACCAAAATTTTTTTTAAAAAAACGTGTTTTTTCTTTGTTTCTGTTATAAAAGTTTACAAATAAATAATTGTTCTTCATAAATTTAGGCCGAGATGTATTCTGCTACATGTCTTTGGTGAAAATAACCCAAATTAAGATGTATTATTTAGTTTGTAGGAAAGTTATAGAGTTAAACTATGGTATAGATCTGAATATTGATCAATCCTGAAGTACTGACAGCCAATCTAATTTCTTGAGGTCCATGAATGTCAGAATAGTACAGATATCCCCAAATGACCCCTTTTTGCAGAGTAGACAGTCCAACGTACTTCATAAGAGGCATGGCGAGTTTTTTGAAGTTGTATTTTTTTTGTCATAATTTTTCAGAAAATGAAAAAATTAAAAAAATTAGTTTCACCATTTTTTTTACATACTGTCACCAGTGCAGTACAGCGTCGTCATATAACTGGCATGGCGGTGATCAGGGACACTGACTGGTGACAGTATGAAAAAAAAATTAATTTTTCTTTTTTTTAAGATTTTGTTTTCATATTTCACTATGACCAAAGTAGTACAATGTTACCATAGTAATATTGTACTACTTTGTGTAAAAAAAAATAAAATAAATACTGATCACTTCCCCAATTTGCTTATAGTAAAGAATTACTTTGCTATAAGCAAGCATTTACCTGAATGACATCGATTCATTCAGGGTTTTTTTTTTGTGCTTAGCTGTGATTTGGCCACAGCTAATCACATGACATGTGCATGTGAATAGCTGTGACCATTCACAGCTAGACACTAGTATACAATGGATGGCATGAATGAAGCCATCCATTGTATACAACTGTCATGTGACCTGCTGTGATTGGTCACAGCAGGTCACATGGTACCGGCAACGGGGGCCGATACTCAGATCGGTCATCGGCCGTATCCGAGGTACACGGCCGGTGACAGATCGCGCCGCTGCGCGGCTCTGCAGGAGCGCAATCTGCGCATGTGCGGGAGGACGATATATGGCGTCCACCCGGAACGCTGATGACATTTGCCGGCCACCGTTCGGCCATAGGCCACACAAACACCTATCTAAATAAATCCATAGATGGTATCTCGTTATATACAAGCACCCTTCCCTTAGGATCACAATTCGGTGTAGACTTACTGGTAAGAGCACTATAGAGGCGCTGGGTGCCAGTTCCAAAGAAAGCAGAGATTTCCCATAGTCTTCTTTGGTAAATTCCCTCCGGGGAAACATGGTGGCGAGGGAGAAATTACCATAGGTGCTCCCAACGGTCTGTAAGCACAGTGTAAAAATAATACTTTAAGATCATTGCAAACACATTTAATCAGCTATATTATCAGCCAATAGGATCAGTGTAAAAAATGCACTTGGCACAGCCTACAGCCAAAAGGCTTAAAGTGGTTGTAAACCTCAGACATGAAATATAAACAAAACATATCCCTCTATAGTGTGTACTTGTCTCAATCCAGAGCACTAAGTGTCATTTCTGTCTGCTGCCTCCTTCTTCCACTATCAGCATGAGTCACTTCTGACAAGTTTTCCTGACAGAAAGAGATAAAAAGGTGACAGGGGAGGGAGCTCCAGCACACAGTCTGCGATTGACAGCCTCAGCTCTGTTCCTGTGAGCTGTGTGAAGGGGGGGGTGGGGGAAATGTTCTAGCGCACAGGGGTATATAAACTCTAATTTAGAAGAGGAGAGGGGAGGGAAACAAATAGTTAATGGAGTATAAATATCTCAAATATGCAAGTCTATGAAGGATAATGGCTCAGGTGCATATGGCAACAGCACATGATAAATACGTATACAATATATAAGTGGAATGAATAAATCCTGATAACGTCTCTGGGGGACGGTGTGATGGTAGCGGCAGCAGTCCTTAGGAGCAGGGCCAGCTCTGTGTGAAAAGATCAGGTGAAAGAGAGAACAGGAGAGAAGAGAGAACAGGAGGCTCCAAGCTAAGTGCAGTATGTAACAGTAAACGTTTAACCACTTCCTGTCCAGGCCAATTTTCATCTTTCAGTGCTATCACACTTTGAATGACAATTGCGCGGTCATGCAACACTGTACCCATATGAATTTTTTAGCATTTTTTTGAGACAGATAAAGATTTATTTTGGTGGTATTTATTCATCACTGGGATTTTTTTTTTTTATCTATGTAAATGAAAAAGTCCAAAAATATTGGTTTTTAAAGCGTTACCTATGGATAATTACATGTACCGTACTTTGTCATCATTACACAGGCAAGCGCAATTTTAAAGGAGCAACATGTTGAGTATCTATTTACTCTGCGCAACATTATCTTTTATTTTTAGACAAAACATTGGGTATTATATTGTGTTTATGTGAGCACTAAGATTCATTAAAGTGCATTTTGTCCTGAAAATTTGTGTTTGATAAATTGCTGTGCAAATATCTTGTGACATAAAAATTGTAAACCATTTTATTCTACAGGCCCTTTGCTTTCAGAAAATACACTGATTAAAAAGTGTTCCTTTCATTTTCTTGAGCAGAGTATAGCATCAAGTCAATGAAACTCCTGGGATATTGATCTGGTCAGTAAGTAGCAGAGGGGGTTGTTAATCAGTTTCAGCTGCTTTGGTGTTAATGAAATTAACAACAGGTGCACTAGATGGGCAACAATGAGATGAACCCCAAAACAGGAATGGTTTTACAGGTGGAGGCCACTGACATTTTTTTTTCCCCTACTCATCTTTTCTGTTTTTCACTAGTTTTGCATTTGGCTAGGGTCAGTGTCACTAGTGGTAGCATGAGACAATACTTGGACCCTACAGAGGTTGCACAGGTAGTCCAACTCCTCCAGGATGGCACACCAATACGGGCCATTGCCAGAAGGTTTGCTGTGTCTCCCAGCAGTCTCAAGAGCATGGAGGAAATTCCAGGAGACAGGCAGTTACTCTAGGAGAGCTGGACAGGGCCATAGAAGGTCCTTACCCCATCAGCAGGACCGGTATCTGCTCCTTTGTGCAAGGTGGAACAGGATGAGCACTGCCAGACCCTACAAAATGACCTCCAGCAGGCCACTGGTGTGAATGTCTCTGACCAAACAATCAGAAACAGTCTTCATGAGGGTGGTCCGAGGGCCCGACATCCTCTAGTGGGCCCTGTGCTCACTGCCCGGCACCATAGAGCTCGATTGGCATTTACCATTGAACACCAGAATTGGCAGTTCCACCACTGGCGCCCTGTGCTTTTTACAGATGAGAGCAGGTTCACCCTGAGCACATGTGACAGACGTGAAAGGGTATGGAGAAGCCGTGGAGAACGTTCTGCTGCCTGTAACATCTTTCAGCATGACTGTTTTGGTGGTGGGTCAGTGATGGTCTGGGGAGGCATATCCATGGAGGGACGCACAGACCTCTACAGGCTAGACAATGGCACCCTGACTGCCATTAGGTATTGGGATGAAATCCTTGGTCCCATTATCAGACCCTAGGCTGGTGCAGTGGGTCCTGAGTTCCTCCTGGTGCACAACAATGCCCGGCCTCATGTGGTGAGAGTATGCAGGCAGTTCCTGGAGGATGAAGGAATTGATACCACTGAATGGCCCCCACGCTGGCCTGACCTAAATCCAATAGAACACCTCTGGGATGTCATGTTTTGGTCCATCTGAACCGCCAAGTTGCACCTGAGACTGTCCAAGAGCTCAGTGATGCCCTGGTCCAGATCTGAGAGGAAATCCCCCAGGACTCCATCCATCGCCTCATTAGGAGTATGCCCCAACGTCGTCAGGCATGCATACAAGCACATGAGGGCCATAGAAACTACGGAGGACCATTCTGAGTTGCTGCAATGAAATTTCAGCAAAATGGACTCGCCTGCTGCATCATCTTTTCACTTTGTTTTTGGGGTGTCTTTGAATTCAGTCCTCTGTAGGTCGATCATTTTCATCAAACGATGGGGCATTTTTAGGTTCCTAACACATTACCCAGTCTATATTAGGATAGATATCCAGCATGAGATCTTTCCCCATCGAGATCTGATGTGTTTTCAAAGTGTTCCTTTAATTTTTTTGAGCTGTGTATATAATGTTTGGGGATTCCAAATAATAATAATAATAATAATAATAAAAAAAAAAAAAAAAAAAAAAAAGGACAAAAAAGGATGAAGATTTTCACATATATGCGAGAAATGTCAATTTCTGTCACACCCGTAAATCGTGTATGGTTTCCATTTTTTAGTCCAATCCCTGTATCTAGCCCTGTAAAGAAAAAACAAATCTTTATACTTACCTGTTCTGCAGCTGCTCCAGTCTCCAGCAATGTCCTTTGTGTGCAGAAGACATCCGACAACGTCTGGGAAATGCCTGGGAAGTGAGGTCACCCATAGAGCTACTATGGGGCTTCCGTTATTGACTGCCTCTCCTGCACACTCCTATGCACCGAAGCTGCCGCTGACAGCTCAGCCTGGGGACCGGACCACAGCGGCTGCAGAACAGGTAAGCATAGCAATTTTTTTTCTTTACAGGGCTAGGTAGATTCGGCTTAGAATGTGGCTGAGAGTAGGTTTAGAATTAGTTAGGTTTTGCCTTTACTTTTCACTTTAAGCTAGGACAGAAAAAACTAGAAGCCAATTGGTTGCTTTGCAGCTTTTCCAGATTCTGACTGCTCCAGTCTTAGCAAATGTTCTGTTGACGATTATGTCACATACGCATTTACACACCTGAGATTAAGGCCCCTTTTACACGACTGGTTCGATCCTGTCCGCCTGTCTGTTTTTCAGGTGGACCTGGTCAGACCGTCTATTATCCTCTATGGAGCAGCGGATGTACACGGACTTGTAACCGGTTGCACCTGCCTACCTCCAATCCAATCCGCTAAAAACAAATGAAAGGGAATCTACTCTCCTCCCTCTGGGCGGATCGAATGGCAGTTGGGTGTAAACAGACAGTCAGCCTGTTTACACCTGACCGCCTATAGAGCAGAGCGGACTGCGCCTGTGTTCGCTCTGCACAAGTGGAGCAGACTAGGACTTGTCATCTGCCCGCTCCCCACTGCTCAACGAGGGATCTGTCTGCTGATTCTGTTCCATGTAAAAAGGGGCCTAACAGGGTGGATACAAAAATTATTTATTTTTCTTTAAATCAGATTTAATCTGATTTTTTTTTTAATTTTTATCAAATTTTAATAAAATATTTTTGAAGTAAAAATCTACCTAAAAGATAGTTTTCTATTTAAGATAGATTAATAATTGAGTTTATTCTGCATGAAATGGAGCTTAGTTATGTAGCATGAGGCTGTATATTCTGAAATATTTACATTTTTTGGTAAACTCATTCAATGAATCCAAGCTCTGAAAGCCGAGATCATGCACTGCATTGATGCATTCACACAATTTCACAGTAACCATGAGAAAAAACATGAAATAAAAGAATTTGAGTCGTTCTCCAGCTACTCTGGTTTTTCTTCGGATCGTATAAATCTTTTGCCTTTTACTAAAATTGGTTCCGATATCGCTGTTTTACTAACCTGACAGCTTATTATTCTAAAAAGGAAACCTTCATTTAGTTTGCAAATATTAAAGATTCTAACTACCAGCAAGAACGAGTCGGATTCCTTACATATAAAGAGCACCTGTCATTTCAGATCCATCATAACAGCGCCTGTTAGCGGGCATCCACTCACCTGCTGCCGGCACGGCCCTCACCTTGTTGTGTCACTGCCACATCACCAGCCATCCCATTAAAGTGAATGGGACTGTCGGTGTGAGTCAACAGCAGGTCAGAGGAGGAAACACTGTGGGACAGAGATGACAGTTGCTCTTTAAAAAACATTTAAATCGACTCTTTTCACTAGTGATTTAAATAAACTTGATTTAAATCAAATCCACCCTGGTTAGAACCTGCAAGTTGCACAGAATCCTGAGCCAAATATTAAGAATTCCAACATATACTGTACAGGTAAACAGAACGCCCTATTCAGAGATCACACACTGCCACCTGCTGGTACAATAAAGGTACAACATGTGTCGCATACATGCGGCTCTGTTCTCAGATGGTCTCACAGCCCCATAGCCATTTCTTGCTGCCATGGACAAAGGAAAATGCTCATGGATGTAGTGACTTTTTCAGTGTCCAAACAATCAGGAACAGGCCAGGACTGTACTGAGCAGAGATCAATGACAGCCATGTGTGTTTCTCCAAACCTGCCTCAGCACAGTGAGTAGGAATTACTAATCAAGTCAGTTAGAAACTGCAAAACCAGCTCAATGGGCTCATTCTGCAGTACCAAATCACTAAGGCTCCATGTACACGGAATGTTTGGAAAACACTTATGAACGATGGAAACGGACTGCTGGAAGACGTAGGTTAAAAGACGTCAGTTTAGCCGCGTTTGCATACCACATTTACAGTCAGGTCCATAAATATTGGGACATCGACACAATTCTAACATTTTTAGCTCTATACACCACCACAATGGATTTGAAATGAAACAAACAAGATGTGCTTTAACTGCAGACTGCCATTTTTAATTTGAGGGTATTTACATCCAAATCAGGTGAACGGTGTAGGAATTACAACAGTTTGCACATGTGCCTCCCACTTGTTAAGGGACCAAAAGTAAATGGGACAGAATAATAAACATAAATCAAACTTTCACTTTTTAATACTTGGTTGCAAATCCTTTGCAGTCAATTTCAGACTGAAGTCTGGAAGGCATAGACATCACCAGATGCTGGGTTTCATCCCTGGTGATGCTCTGCCAGGCCTCTACTGCAACTCTCTTTAGTTCCTGCTTGTTCTTGGGGCGTTTTCCCTTCAGTTTTGTCTTCAGCAAGTGAAATGCATGCTCAATCGGATTCAGGTCAGGTGATTGACTTGGCCATTGCAGAACATTCCACTTCTTTCCCTTAAAAAACTCTTTGGTTGCTTTTGCAGTATGCTTTGGGTCATTGTCCATCTGCACTGTGAAGCGTCCAATGAGTTGTGAAGCATTTGGCTGAATATGAGCAGATAATATTGCCCGAAACACTTCAGAATTCATCCTGCTGCTTTTGTCAGCAGTCACATCATCAATAAATACAAGAGAGAACCAGTTCCATTGGCAGCCATACATGCCCACGCCATGACACTACCACCACCATGCTTCACTGATGAGGTGGTATGCTTAGGATCATGAGCAGTTCCTTTCCTTCTCCATACTCTTCTCTTCCCATCACTCTGGTACAAGTTGATCTCGGTCTCATCTGTCCATAGGATGTTGTTCCAGAACTGTGAAGGCTTTTTTAGATGTCGTTTGGCAAACTCTAATCTGGCCTTCCTGTTTTTGAGGCTCACCAATGGTTTACATCTTGTGGTGAACCCTCTGTATTCACTCTGGTGAAGTCTTCTCTTGATTGATGACTTTGACACACATACACCTACCTCCTGGAGAGTGTTCTTGATCTGGCCAACTGTTGTGAAGGGTGTTTTCTTCACCAGGGAAAGAATTCTTCACTCATCCACCACAGTTGTTTTCCGTGGTCTTCCGGGTCTTTTGGTGTTGCTGAGCTCACCGGTGTGTTCCTTCTTTTTAAGAATGTTCCAGGCAGTTGTTTTGGCCACGCCAAATGTTTTTTGCTATCTCTCTGATGGGTTTGTTTTGTTTTTTCAGCCTAATGATGGCTTGCTTCACTGATAGTGACAGCTCTTTGGATCTCATCTTGAGAGTTGACAGCAACAGATTCCAAATGCAAATAGCACACTTGAAATGAACTCTGGACCTTTTATCTGCTCATTGTAATTGGGATAATGAGGGAATAACACACACCTGGCCATGGAACAGCTGAGAAGCCAATTGTCCCATTACTTTTGGTCCCTTAACAAGTGGGAGGCACATATGCAAACTGTTGTAATTCCTACACCGTTCACCTGATTTGTAGTTCATTCACAGAACACCGTGAATGAATGACGCAGCCGGACGGCCGTGTTTTTTAAAAATTGTAAGAGCTAGCAGGGAGGAGAAGATCCCCCGCTAGCTGTGAAAAGGGGGGGAGCAGGAGAGAGCGAGGACTGTTCCATTCGTAACATGGTACGAAAAATGAACTTATCCTTTAAATAGTTTCATGTGCAATAAAGTGATTGGGGGACATTGAACAAAAAAGTCGGCACATCTCCTAATGTGTCGCAGTTTGCAAATGTGTGACTGAAATGTGACCTATTTACTTATAAATACAGTCAGGTCCATAAATATTGGGACATCGACACAATTCTAACATTTTTGGCTCTATACACCACCACAATGGATTTGAAATGAAACGAACAAGATGTGCTTTAACTGCAGACTGCCAGCTTTAATTTGAGGGTATATACATCCAAATCAGGTGAACGGTGTAGGAATTACAACAGTAAATACCCTCAAATAAAGCTGACAGTCTGCAGGTAAAGCACATCTTGTTCGTTTCATTTCAAATCCATTGTGGTGGTGTATAGAGCCAAAAATGTTAGAATTGTGTCAATGTCCCAATATTTATGGACCTGACTGTATGCGTGTTTGCTTTTGATGTGTTTTTTTAAAGATATCAGGAGACCTTCCAAAATGCTCAGAATGCACTGAAAATTAGTACAAAATTAACTTTTTCAGACATTTTGAGAGAAATAGAGAGAGCAGAAGCAGAGAGAGAGCAGTATGTGTTGAGATGACCTGTCTTTTCTGGTTGTATTCACTATGGATCCCATCATGAGCATAATGCGGCACGTTCTAGCATTTCTTCCTTCACGCAAAACCTGCAACTGATTGTGGTGGTGTACCGGGTCCATTTGAATACATGGAAAACGCTTTGCATGCATTTCTGATGATGAAAAAAGGCTCCGGACAGCATCTGGACATGGAACAGTTAAAAATACGCTTCTAAAACGTGGTTAGCCACGCTTACAAGTGTTTGGAATGCTGATAAAATCTACTCCTGAACGCAAGTTTGGTGCGTTCAAAAAACCGACTGTAAACTCAACTGCCTGTAAATGAAGATGTGTACATGGACACATAGGAAAACATTAGGGAGAGTTCAGGGGCTGCTGAAAAAAAAAAAATGCAGAAAAGCTCCTGAATGTCAGTTTATCAGCTGCAGTGTACAGGAGCCCCAATACTAAAAGACAAACCTGTGCAGCAAACTGCCGTGCTTCTTCTAGTGGGGCTTCTGATGGGAACTGGTTTGTGAATGAAGAACCGTCAGGAAGTCGGAACTGTATCCTGGCAATGGTCCTGAGAAGCAATTACAAAAGGTTTAGGATTATTCACACATTTCTGTACACACCCTGCACTATTGTATTAAACCTGAAACCATCTACAAGCAGCACACGTCTGCACAGATGTTACAGATGTCTGGAGACCGCGTGTGTCAGTAGGACATGGCACTCTAACCCCAATGGTGTGCTTCCTGCATGGTTCAATGAACTGTATGGAAAGCACCAGCTCAGCTACACAGTGAACTGACCTAGAAGCAGGCAATCACCATGCACTCAGCTTTATAAGCCCAGCTACATGCAGAATCATATAAATGGATCACCTCTTCTCTTTCTGTGCTGCATCCCTTCTGGCTTCCATCTCTGCCTGCCTGGCTTGTAATTCTGCTGCTCTGATTGCATCTTGTTCTTCCTTATTCTTTGCATAGCGAGCTGCACGGTCAGCACGATCCTTTGAAGATTGGAAATACAGATATAACTTAAAAGCAATGATAAAAGCATAATTCAAAGAGCATCAATGCAGCCAGAATATAGTATGTGATCTGGTGGTGAGATTACATTTCTATCTTTTCATATACATACAGTTAGCTCCATATATATTTGGACACAGGCACAATTTTAGTTTTTTCAGGTATTTACCAAAACATATTCAAGTTATAGTTATATAATGGACATGGGCTGAATGTGCACACTCTCAGGTTTAATTTGAGGGTATGTACATCCAAATTGGAGGAAGGGTTTAGGAATTACAGCTCTTAAAGTGTAGCCATCCTCCCTTTTTCAAGGGACCAAAAGTGATTGGACAATTGAATCAAAAGCCGTTTCATGGCCAGGTGTGGGCTACTCTATTATTTCTTCATCAAGCGGGTAAAAGGCAACAAGTTGATTCTAAGTGTTTTATTTGCATCTGGAATCTATTGCTGTGAACCTACATCATGCATTCAAAAGGAGCTGTCCATGCAAGTGAAACGGGCCATTGTAAGGCTTCAAAAATGAAACAAATCCATCAGAGAGATAGCAGCAACATTAGGAGAGGCCAAATCAACAGTTTGGTACATTCGGAGGAAAGAACAACACACTGGTGAGCTCAGCAACATAAAAAGGCATGGACGTCCATGGAAGACAACAGTGGTGGATGATCGCAGAATCCTCTCTATGATAAAGAAAAACCCAGTCACAACATCCAGACAAGTGAAGGACACCCTCCAGGAGGTGGGCGTATCATTGTCAAAGTCAACAATCAAGAGAAGACTTCACAAGAGCAAATACAGAGGGTTCACCATAAGGTGCAAACCATTCATAAGTCTGAAGAATAGAAAAGTCAGATTAGACTTTGCCAAAAAACATCTAAAAAAGCCAGACCGGTTCTGGAAAAGTATTCTTTAGACGGAGGAAACGAAGGCTAATCTGTACCAGAATGACAGGAAGAAAAAAGTGTGGAGAAGGTTTGGAACAGCTCATGATCCAAAGCACACAACGTCATCTGTAAAGCATGGTGGAGGCAGTGTGATGGCATGGGTAGGCATGGCTTCCAGTGGCGGTCATTGGTGTTTATTGATGATGTGACAGAAGACAGAAGCAGCCGTATGAATTCTGCAGTGTTTGGAGATATACGCTCAGTCCCAGATTCAGCCAAATGCAGCAAAGCTGATTGGACAGTACAAATGGACAATGATCCAAAACACACTGCAAAAGCAACCCAGGAGCTTTTGAAGGAAAAGAAGTGGAACATTCTGCAATGGCCGAGTCAATCACCTGATCTCAACCCAATTGAGCATGCATTTCACTTGCTGAAGGCAAAACTAAAGGCAGAAAGACCAACAAACAAAGAACAACTGAACACAGCTGCTGTTAGAGCCTGGCAAAGCATCAGAAAGGAGGAAACCCAGTCTTTGGTAATGTCCATGGGTTCCAGACTTCAGGCAAAGCATCAGAAAGGAGGAAACCCAGTCTTTGGTAATGTCCATGGGTTCCAGACTTCAGGCAAAGCATCAGAAAGGAGGAAACCCAGTCTTTGGTAATGTCCATGGGTTCCAGACTTCAGGCAGTCATTGCCAGTAAAGGATTCTCAACAAAATATTAAAAATGAACATTTTTTTTATGACTATAAATTTGTCCAGTTACACCTGAGCCACTGAAAATGGAGGGACTGTGTCTAAAAATGGTTGCAGTTCCTAAAATATCTACTTCATATTTATGTTCAACCCCTTGAATTAAAGCTGAAAGTCTGCACTTCAAATTCATTTGGATTGTTTCATTTTAATTCACTCTGGTGGCAAACAGGTATGAAAATTGTGCCAGTGTCCAAATATATATGGAGCTAACTGTATGTAAATGAACAGATTGCACTAACAGTTTAGGTCCAAGTAGTTTATGTTGTTATTGCACCTGCAATCCAGGAAACGAGTATAGGAGCACTCACCTGGGCGATCTGTTGTCGAATACGTTCCCTGGCAGCTTTCTCCTCTGCCTTCTCCTTATTCCTCTCCTCCAGCGCCCGCCGCGCCTGGTCATCCTCCTGCTTCCTCTTATAATCCAGCATCTCCTTGCCCATCTTCCTTCTCTCAATTTCTCGCTTAATTTCCTTCTGCATGAACAAAGTTTAGAACAAATTGTACTTCGGACAACAAAGCAGCACTGGAAACACAAGCAGCAACACCAAAACACCAAGAGAACCTCAATGGTTTAAATCCATGGTAAGTTCAGTAAGGGACAGGTAAGTAAAGAGTGATAACACAAACCTGCAAGTCTCCCATTTGAGTGTTTTTACGCTTGTTTCCCCAACTGCACAGAACCCCCATGCTATCCAATTGTCCCTGTTCACATTTGTACGCTCAATCGCTCTACACGCAGAAAGAAAGTACATGAGCTTTTTTTTGTGGTTCTGTTTTTATGTGTATTTAGATGTTTTTGATCCTACAGGTTTCAATGTGAGTGCTTGTATATGAACGATATGCATGTTTTGCATGTTTCCTCTTCTTCCCTAGTCCCTATAGAACTGCTCTACTTCCCTTGCCCAGCCCAGGAAACAAAATTGCTGAAGCTGGAAAATGCATGAAAAAACACCTGCAATATGCCCCAAAAATGCTTCACATCACTAGAAATGGGCTCTGCTCAAGTTTGAATGTGGGCTAATACTTTAATTTTAAGGTGATTAAATTACCTGTGTGACCAGCTTGACCTTGGGCAGCATTTTCTTCAAAAAAGTAAAGTGTTTGTAAACCTCAGACATGAAACATGAACAAAGTATAATCCTCTATAGTGTGTACTTGTCTGACTCAAGAGCACTAAGTGTCATTTATGTCTGCTACTTCCTTCCTCTGCCATCAACATGAGTTGCTTCTGACAAGTTTTCCTGACACCAAGAGAAAAATGGTGACAGGAGAGGGATCTCCAGCAGATTGACAGCCTCAGCTCTGTTCCTGTGTGTAGGGGGGGTGTGTCTCTTCCCTCCAATCAGGTCCCAGAGCTCTCCTCACTGAGCTCTGCAGAGTAAATTTCCAGCTCTCTACCCCCTTTTTTTTTTACATCTTGGACAAGCTGTATAAATTCTGGACTTTGAAAAGATGAAGAGACAACTCCATATAAACAGGTACAACTGATGTAGGAGGATTTGTTTCATTTCTGTGTATCACCCGATGCCATTCACTTCACTGGGTACACAGAATGTAATGGTTTGCAACTACTTTAACTGTATCTGGTCGCCATAAATCAAATATGCATCAACCCGTTTCAAGTTTTCCCACTGACTTGCATGGGAAGTAGTTCTGATACGAGATCCAAAAACTGTGTATATATGAACTGCACTACACAGAGGGTTCAATCAGCATTGTCTACTGAAGACCTACTTCACAGAAGCCAATGTTTCCATACAATACACTGGAGGATGGCCAACCAGCCTGTGTTTAGAATAAGGGGCTCTGTAATATCAGGATGCATCTGTAACTCAAATGTCCCTGGGGTAAAAAATTTGCATGGCTCTGCCCACTTTACTAAAATAAAAAAAACTGAAGCCATCTTTTTTGTGATGAAGTGAGACATGTAGATACATAGTTTCAAAACGGTTCTACTGTGCTTAAGCCCTCCGGTTCACATCATGTGACTTGCGAGTTTGAAGTCACATGACATATCACATCCCATATCTTTCAATGGCCCCATTCTAACGGGAGTCGCAGTGACTCCAAAAAAAGGTTCCTGCACTATATTTGTGCGACTTCATTGCAACCTGCATTGACATCTAATACTGAGTCGCAGCAAGGCTCAATGAAGTCACACATAGTCGGACCTCAAAGTCGCATGCATTGATGTGAACCGAAGCTAAAATGTAGATTACCCCCAAAAATACAATCATACGTGTTGCGTTATACCTTTGGTTCTTATTAAAGTAGGAACTCCCACTGGACACGTGTACCTATAGGTGAGCTTATAATAAAACTTACCTGTAGGTACAAGGAATAATCTCCTAAATGTGCACCGTTTAGAAGATACTCAGTGCCCCTGCAGCCGGTGACGTGACCGGCGCTTGCACTTTGCTCCTCCGTTCCTTCAGAGCTGTGTGCCGCAGTGCGCAAGGGATTGACATCATCGCGACCTGGCCAATCAAGAGGCCAGAGCCTGCAAACCCAGAAGGAAGACCGGGTGAAGATGGGAGACCTGTCAGCAGTGACAGCGCGCCGCTGGAGGGCTTCGTTCTAAGGTAGTTCTTCATAATGTGCTAGTTGCATGGAGAAGATTTATTTTTTAAGTCAACTTTACTACTACTTTAAAATGCAACTTGTAAAAGTTTTATTTCCTAGATCCTTACTAAATACCCGATGATCCTGCCTTAGTTTTGCCCTGACTGCGGTTTTAAAATGACCATGCTAGGCAGCAAAGCAGATCTGTCCTAGTGTGGCCAGTTTACTTTGCTGCTCCGGACAAGAAAAAAAAAAAAAAAAAAAAAAATCATATTTTTTGAAGCACTATGGAGCTATACTATCTTAACCACATGCCGCCCAGCCACTGTAGAAATACAGCGGCAGGGGCAGGCAAATCCCCGTTTTAAAACGTGTGTTTTGTAAACAGGTAGAGGGCGCGCACGAGGCGCGCCACCGCCCTACCTGTCCCGCCGATCACAGCCGCGGATGTCAGTCGCCGGGTCACAGCCGATCGTTACCGGCTATGTCCCGGCGATCGGCGGCAATAGCTGACAGAGAGCACAGCTGCAGTAGCTGTGCTTTCTGTCAGTTCCCTGACAGCTCCAGGACAAGCTGATCGGGACAGAAGAGTTTCTCTCTCCCGATCAGCCTTGTCCCCAGCAGTACACACCCCCGCCCCCTAGTAAAACACTCCCCCTCACACAGATAACCCTTCCCTGAAAAATAAACTTAACCCCTTCCTCCCCAGTGCCATTAGTACAGTGTCAAGTGTTTTTTTCTTGCACTGATCACTGTATTGGTGTCACTGGGGATGTCAGTGACCCCAAGTCAGTACTCCCCAATGTCAGAATGTCCGCTGCAGTCCCGCCATAAGTCGCTGATCGCCGCCATAAGTCCCTGATCGCCGCCATTATTAGTATAAAAAAAACTAAAAATCCCAGTATCTTTCCCGCCATTTGTAAACGCTATAACTTTCACGTAACCAATTCATTTACACATATTGGGATTTTTTTTTAGCAAAGACATGTCGCAGAATGCATTTTGGCAGAAATTTATGACTAAATTTGATTTTTTGCATTTTTTTTTACTGGACATGTTTTATAGCAAAAAGTCCAAAATATTGTTTTTTTTCCTCAAAATTGTCAGCCTTTTTTTTTTTATAGAGCAAAAAATAAAAACCGCACAGGCGATCAAATACCACCAAAAGAAAGCTCAATTTGTGGGGGGGGGGGGGGGGAAAAAAAAAAAAGGATGTAAATTACATTTATGTACCGTATTGCATGACTGCGCAATTGTCCGTTAAACTAGCGCAGCGCTGTATAGCAGAAAAAATGGCGTAAATTGCAGTATCTATACCATAGTTTGTAGACGCTATAACTTCCACACAAAGCAATCAATATACACTTATTGGGATTTTTTTTACCAAAAAAACATGGAGCAGAATACATTTTGGCCTAAATTTATAACCAACTTTGAGTTTACTATATATTTTTTATAGCTGAAAGTAAAAAATATTGTTTTTCTTCAAAATTTTTGGCCTTTTTTTGTTTATAGCGTGAAAAAATAAAAAAGCGCACAGGTGATCAAATACCACCGAAAGAAAGCTCTATTTGTGTGAAAAAAAAAAAAGAGGACGTAAAATTTCATTTGGGTGCAGCATTGCATGACTGCGCAATTATCAGTTGAATTAGTGCAGCGCCGAGTAGCAAAAAGAGGCCTGGTCATTAACCCCTTGACGCCGACGTAACACAAATATGCGGCCTCACGGACCTGGGCTTTTTTCCGTGGGGCCGCATATTTGCGTACCTGTCTTTGTGTTGGGAGCGCGCCCCTCAGCGCGCTCCCAGCACCGAGACCGCGGTGTCACTGAGAGCACCGGGTCCCGTTCTAACGATCGGGACCCGGGACTCCCGGTCCCGGGTCACATGATCGCTGTGATAGCCTCTGATTGGCTATCACAGTGATCAGTCACTGTGCAGCCCGGCCCCCTTTTTTTTTTTTCTCTCTCTCTCTATGAATGGAGAAGAGAGATACATTGTATCTCTCGAACTCCTGTCAGAGAGAAGAAAAAAAAAGTTTGTAAAAAAAAAAAAAAAAAAAAAAAAAAGATAAATAAATATTAAAAAAATAAAAGAAAAAAGAAAAAAAAAATACCTAGATCAAGGTTTGATCTAGTTCAGTGCCAGGGTTAGTGTTTAGGTCAGGGTCAAGGTCAGGGTCAAAGGTCAAGGTCAGGATTTAAAAAAAAATTGGTGTCAGTTAGTGTTAATGTCAGTGTCAGTTAGTGTTAGTGTGTTTTAGGTAAAAAAAAAACAAAACAAAAAAAAAAAAAACAAAACAAAATGCGCACTATGGTTTCTGGGCTGTACTACGGGTACAAACAACAAATAACATACACATATATGGTATCGCTGCGATCGTCAAGAGCTGGACAATTTATTTTGGGTTGCTCTTTGGTGGTAGGTTATGGTCATAACAAGAAACACATAGCTAAATAAAAAAAAAAAAGGATTTTTTTTTACTATTTTTGGCCAGTTTTCCTTTGATAATAAAAAAAAAAATCAGGAGATATCCATTACCATTTACCACCAAATGAAAGCCCAATTTGTCCTGAAAAAATCAAGGTATAATCCACCTGGATGTGCAAAGTAGTTGTGATGATATGGACGGTTTTGCTATCACATGTCAAAGGTGCAAAATTGTGCTTAGGCATTTAGATTTGTTTTACCCTTAGGCGTGAAGGGGTTAAGGGGGGTGAGTCCTCAGGAGGGCAAGTGGTTAATAGCGGCTGCTGTCACTGCGTGGTTTTTGCAACCTTTTCATTCACATACATTAAGACCGAAGCCTGGAGATCTGTCCATGGCATTGCTGGGAAGAGAGACATGGATCTCAAAATGATTTACAACTCTGGCAGTAACAATGCGGTATGTATATTGCACAGTAACTTGATGTAAATGAAAACGGAAAATAAACACTTTACATACAAACATCCGATGGCCGCGCAGTAAAAATCACCATATTCCACAAATATGACAGGGATACAGGACTCCAGCTAAAGCGTTTCACGCTGCACTATTGCTTACTCACAGCTCATGACTAAGCGCCAGTGCAGCGTGAAACGCGTTAGAGTCCTGTATCCCTGTCATATATTTGTGGCATATGCTACAACAACAATAAAGGTGATTTTACTGGATGCTCGGCCATCGGATGTTTGTATATTGGAGTCTGCTGCAGTCAGAGCCAGCAGCCGGGATTTAATGTGTGTGTGGTAGTGGAGAGGGAACCGACCTGGAGCAGCGTTTTTTGGTCTAAATTTATATATGACCCTCCTACCTCCTGTTCATCTTTCTTTTTCTCCTCCTGCTTGATTTCCAACTTCTGCATTACCCTAAAAATAGGAAAATACAGCTTAGAACTACATTCAAGTCATTAAAAAAGATACATTTGCATATAAAGTGAATTCTGGATACATTGGGTAACCCCTGCACCAACAGGTCTATCATCATAGAAATATGGTCAAACTTTTAAATCACATAATGTAAGCTGCCTCTACCAGTAGAACCGCTGGATAGGCACTTCCTTAGAAAGGGTGACAACACTCCTAATTCTTCAGTAAATTCATTGCAGTGTTGTCACTCTAGCTGCTGCTTAGATACTGGCACCCGTGATAGTTCAGTCAGTAACTGGCAATACTTCACTCTGCATTTGAAGAAGCGTAAGGAAATAATGTAAAAAAAAAAAATTGTTCAGCCCTTCCAATGCATTAAGCACTATCTAGCAGGGCCCAAAAGAAAGCCAGCATCCCAGCTGCATTTACCATTCAAAGAAAACTAGGTAAACTTCTTTATACATATTTAAAGTGGTTCAAAAGGCTAAACGTTTTTCTCTGCATTAAGATAAACAACCTTTTATGTGGAGCTCCCTCCTGCCCCCCTAAAAAAACTTGCCTGAGCCTGATCCCAATCCAGTGCTGTGCTGGAGAGCAGTATCCCTGCTCTTTCTTTCTCTCTCTCCCTTCCTCTTCACTGGAGTCTGCAAGAGCAGCTGGGTCCGCTGGTTCCTGCTGCTGTCACTCAAATCCAGTGACAAGGGAGCGGGGCAGGGCCAACCAGCACCGTGTGTGTCAATAGACGAACACAGCATAGCTTGGTATGGAGCCCGCACGAGTGCACCCATGGGGGGGGGGGCACACGGAAGGCAAAAGCCAGGAATGCCAGGCAGGGGACCCCAGAAGAGGATCAGTATTAAAACACTGCACAGTGAAGATAAGTAAATGTTTTATATAAAAACAAGATAAAGAGGCTTTACAATCACTTTAAATACCAAACTGCACTGACAATGACGGTTTATCACTCAGTCCCCCAAAAAAAAAAAAAAAGGCAGCTTTAGATGGACTTTATAGTAAATGTAAAGCCTAAAAAGGTATTTTACTGTTGAGCATTCTATGTATGAAGGTAAAAAACTTTCAGTATTCAGCTCCCCCCACTGCCCTCTAAAATTTATCTGAGCCCGATCCAGTGATGTGCACGAGATTAGCTGCTGTCCTGGCCATTGGCTCCCACTGCTGTCAATCACAGCCAGTGAGGGGGAAAGCGAGGGACAGGGCTCAGGAGTGAGCGTGCACAAGTACCCCCATGGCATGCAGCTTCCTATGGGGCACTTGGCATGGGGGAGGGGAGAAGCCCAGAGGACCTAAGAAAAGGAGGATTGAGGCTGCTCTGTGCAAAACCCATGCACAGAGCAGGTAAGTATAACATGTTTGTTATGTTAAGAAAGAATAAAAAGTAAGCTTTTAGTATCACTTTAAAGCTGAACGCCAGGATCCTATCTTCTATACCCAAATCTATCTCTTCATGCTGAACTAACTTTCCTGTAGTGAATTTTTTTTAATCGAGTCATTAAATTTGCATGATCCCTAGAAAAAAAATGTGTGCTGTCCCTACATGCCAGGGAAGGACATAGACTAGTGCTGCACGTCACAACTGCAGTGGCAAAAAAGCACTACATTTCCCATAATTCCATGGGAATTCAGGATGTGCTGGGAAAGTATGAAGACCAGTGCTGTGCTGAAGAAAGTAGCGATTTGCACAGTTGCCAATTGGATGTTGGCCGGGTCATGACCGGGTGTTGTGCTGATCAAACACACCCGCAGAAGGAAGGATGATGAAATCACACCCTTGTCACCTTGTACATACTACAACTGGGAGGGTATGCAATGGGGAGCCGTTTCTGTCCATAGGGTAACAGTGCCTCCCAGTTGCACAAACAAGGCAGCATACAAAAGAAGAAATGAAGGATCTGTATGGTAGATAAAAAAATACTTCTACAATGAAGTGCAAAAAGGAATGAACACACAAGAAGGCCAGTAACGTGATAATAGCACTGCGATCCTCCTGGGTGGAGTTCAGCTTTAAATGATGATCTCCCAATGCTTCTGCACCGGCCTATTTTGTGCAGCAAGGGATGTAACATAAAGCACCAGCACCAAGGTTATCGTGAGAAGAACATTTTATATTGCAGTTGAAGAAAGGAAACAGACGCCTTAAGCCCCGGTTCACACTGATGCGGTGCAGAAATTGCACCGGCTTCTGAGCGATCAACGCATTATAATCGCACCCAGTTCATGAGGACTGTTGCGTGTCTGTATCTTAACCTCCCTGGCGGTATTCCCGAGTGTAGCTCGGGGTAAAGTTTCTGTACCAAAAGCAGTAACCCCGAGCTACACTCGGGCTTAACATGCGGCGCTGCATAGGGAGTCCCTGCAGCACTTACCTTGTCCTTCGCTCCTGCGATGTGTCCCCCCTGCAGCATCCCCGGCCATCTCCTCCGGCTGATGCCGCAATCCGGCTTCTGTGTTCCGGTCCCTGTGACGTCGGGACGTACGGGCGCCGGCGTGAAATTTGAAAACTTTAAAAAAAAATTTCATTTTTTTCAAAACAAATTTTACATAGTAAAACATTGCTGTTTCAAACCATTTCACATACATTTTGTCCCGAATGCTTTGTCCTGCGCCCTGTCTGCATTTTTACTGTTCTTTCTGCCTGGAAACTTAGAAAAGTCCATGGTGTCCAAAAAGTGTCCCTTTAGGTCAAAATCGGTGTTAGACCGGCTAGAGAACAGCGATAGTAAATCAGAACCACTTGCAGAATTGAGTGATAATGATTCGTGGGGGAAATTCGTCATCAGACACTGAAAACGATTTTGCGACTTTGCTCAGTGATGTGCGAACTTGGCGCTATATTTCAAATTTCAGTGTTTTTGGTTTGATTATATTATTGAATTAAATTTATTAATATTATATTATTATTTTTTATGATTATTTATTAAATTATAATTTATGATTTCGAGTTTCAAATTTTATCATATCCGGGATGTTTACTAGACTCTTGTTCGGACAGATTTCAGTGAGTTATTCCTAAATATTACAGCCTACAATAAAAAAACTACATATTTCCATGCAAAATAATGGTACCGCTTTCAGCACCAAAAATCTGAAATAATCATACCGCCGAGGAGGTTAACGCCACCCTGAATTCGGTTCGTAAGATGTGATGCAATGTGCAGAATCAGATCGCATGGGTGTGAATAAAAAAAAGGATCCTGCACTATTTTGGTGCGGATGCAGTGCAATTTGAGCCATACAAAATGTACGGCTCAAGTTGCACCCGCCCAGAAATCGCATTTGTGATTTGCACAGGAATGCGGTGCGGTTCCTGTGCGAATCACATGTGATGTGCCGCACCGCATCAGTGTGATGGGGAGGGTACAGCCTATGATTGACAACATAAGCTCTATTGAAGTGGGGGGGGGGGGGTTGCTTTCCTCCAATCAGCTCTCCTCACTGAGTGCAACTTCAGCTCCCCGCCCCCTGCTCTTCAGAGATGAGAGATCCTGTGTAAATTCTGAACTTTGAATGGATGTAGGGGACAGACAGCTGTAAACATATCTTTGAGGATATGGTATCTCTTGGCAAAGACAAGAGAAGGGTTCCAATTTATGCAGATTATGTGTGGACATCTACATGTATGCTGCGTAGCGCCACACTGTCTCCAGAACAGAAATCAATGTTAAAGTGGTCAGACATGAAATATGAACAAAGCATATCTCTCTATTGTGTGTACTTGTTGGAATCCAGAGTACTAAGTGTCATTTCTGTCTGCTGCCTCGTTCCTCTGCTATTAACATGAAATCACTAATGCGTTTTCCTGACACCAAGAGAAAAATGGTGATAGGGAGGGTACAGCCTATGATTGACAACATAAGCTCTGTTCCTGTGTGAAGGGGGGATGGGGTTGTTTTCCTCCAATCAGCTCTCCTCACAGGGTAACTTCAGCTCCCTGCGCTTAAGAGCTGAGAGATCCTGTGTAAATTCTGCACTTTGAATGGATGTAGGGGACAATCGGCTGTAAACAGGTACAACTTATGTAGGAGGATTTGTTCATCTCTGTGTATTACCTGAGGCCATCAGATCACTGGGTATATGGAAGGGTTTACAAGCACTTTAAATCAAAAGTTTTAGAGTTGTCACTGGAACAGTATGTGAGAAGTCTTCAAATGGGGACACCTGTTACAGTGACAACCTTCGAAGTAAGAGGATATCTCTCCAAATCAAGAGCATGGTGCTGACCTCTGCATTTTTTCTGTCATTTCCTCTCCAGGCTGGGGGTCTGGCATCTCACCATTCCCATCTTCTTGAAGTTCCTTTGTTTGCTCTGTGGGTGGATTTTCATCTTGCACTACAGAGATATCAGAGAGAACATAAATAAAAAAAATGAGAAAAAAAAAAAAAAAAAAAAAGAAGAGCTCAGAATCAGAAAGGTTGAGTGCACGTTCCAACTGACCTGGGGTAGAAACTGAAGAATCGCTGGGGGTCTCCACTGATGGGGGCAGTACGTCCTCTGAAGGGCACTGTGGTACAGGGCAGGATTCAGCAGAGCAGGGCACCGGCGGGCTGGAGGATAGGTCCTGACTAGTCGATAACCTGTCATCTCCTGTGTGCATCTAAAGAAAAATGTAAAGATTGCCAGCAATAAGAACCTGGGACAGAACTTGATTTTTTGCTTTTCAAAGCTGACAGGTAAAATCCATAAACAGGTAAAGAAGCCCATAAAATACAGCTGTACATCAGAGGGGCTTGTAATGTACATATGTAACTGTATATCTAGATCAGTGGGCTCCAAACTGTGGCACGGGGGCCAGATGCTTGCCTTTATCTGACCCTTGGGGTACTTTTCCTCTCACGGATATCAGGCATTGTTCCTCCCACTGACACCAAGGGTGGCGCACCGTTGCCCCCACTGACACCGTCTGCCCCACACTGGAGCACTGACACCATGATGAGCACTGGACACCGCACTGCTCCTCCCACTGACACCAAAATGATGGAGCACTGCTCCTCCCACTGACACCAATATGATGGAGCACTGCTCCTCCCACTGACACCAATATGATGGAGCACTGCTCCTCCCACTGACACCAAAATGATGGAGCACTGCTCCTCCCCCACTGACACCAATATGATGGAGCACTGCTCCTCCCACTGACACCAATATGATGGAGCACTGCTCCTCCCACTGACACCAATATGATGGAGCACTGCTCCTCCCACTGACACCATGATGGACACCACTGACACCAATGATGGGCACTGCTCCTCCCACTGCAATGATGGGGCACTGCTCCTCCCACTGACACCAATATGATGGAGCACTGCTCCTCCCACTGACACCAATATGATGGAGCACTGCTCCTCCCACTGACACCAAATGATGGAGCACTGCTCCTCCCACTGACACCAATGATGGGGCACTGCTCCTCCCACTGACACCAATGATGGGCACTGCTCCTCCCACTGACACCAATGATGGAGCACTGCTCCTCCCACTGACACAATGATGGAGCACTGCTCCTCCCACTGACATTGATGGAGCACTGCTCCTCCCACTGACACAATTGATGGAGCACTGCTCCTCCCACTGACACAATTGATGGAGCACTGCTCCTCCCACTGACACAATTGATGGAGCACTGCTCCTCCCACTGACACCAATGATGGAGCACTGCTCCTCCCACTGACACCAATGATGGAGCACTGCTCCTCCCACTGACACAATGATGGAGCACTGCTCCTCCCACTGACACCAATGATGGAGCACTGCTCCTCCCACTGACACCAATGATGGAGCACTGCTCCTCCCACTGACACCAATGATGGAGCACTGCTCCTCCCACTGACATCAATGATGGAGCACTGCTCCTCCCACTGACACCAATGATGGAGCACTGCTCCTCCCACTGACACCAATGATGGGGCATAGGTTAATCCTAATAACGCTAGTGCATTTTCTAATCACACTGGTCACAGCCACCCCCCCCTAATGTCTGAAGGACAGTAAACTGGCCCCATGTTTAGAATGTTTGGAGACCCCTGATCTAGATAAAACATTTTTAGTACAATACTACAATGCAAGAACATTTACCTACGTTTTGCCACGTTGACCCTCCCCCCACCATGAGCCAAACCTTTAGGTACATCCAAACTCTGAAGAAGTTACTTGGGCTTCCCAGTCATGTGATCACTATTATAACGGTCACGTGATCAGAAGCCAATCCTATTGACTTTGGATTTTAAGCAGTGACTGGGAGCAGTTGCTGACAGCTTGGATGACAGTATTGGGAGAGCTCCCACCTCCCAGCACAAAACACTGACACTGCCTGTATACATACATGTGGAAGCAAAGCACAAAGCACACCGCCGTGTTGCCACATATATGGATGCAGCCGGGGGTTAAGGTGTTAAAGAGGAACTAAACCCTTCTCTTCATTGCAGCCAAGGAAGCTGCCATCTTAGCATCTGTTTGATCTGCCATTGACATGGTGCTGCACGTGTGATCAGTCAGGACACCAAGCTTTTGATAACATAACTTGACGGTTTTTAGAAGAGCACAAGCAACTGTGACAGTTACAGTTTGGGGTTTAGTTTTAAAAGTGCAATACAATAAATAAAGAGCCAAAACTGCCAGAAAGCAGGCGAGCTCCTGACTTTCTGTGCTGCACATGAATCCGAGGCTGTGTCTTCAGTCATGCCAAATTCACCTGTGAACTACAGAATCCCTCCCCCAAGTTATGGAGATGACTTGCTATCTAAACCTGGAAAATGGCAGCGTATGGTGACAATGCTGTCCATTACTGCAGGCAGCAAGTGAGCATTTTCACATTAGGACAGGAATTGCATTACTTACAGGATCACCAAGTAAAATTAAAAGAATAAAAAGCCTGAAATAGGGCAGCACAGTGGCTAAATGGTTAGCACTTCCACCTGGCAGTACTGGGGTAGTTGGTTCGAATCCTAACCATGGCACCACCTGCCTGGAGCTTACATGTTCTCCCTGTGCCTGCGTGGGTTTCCTCCGGTTTCCTCCCACACTCCAAAGACATGCTGGTAGGTGAATTGGCTCCTGTCTAAATTATCCCTAGTATGTGTATGTATGAATGTGAGTTAGGGACCTTAGATTGTACGCCCCTTGAGGGTTAGGGACTGATGTGAATGTACAATATATATGTAAAGTGCTGTGTAAATTGATGGCGCTATATAAGTACCTGAAATAAATAAAATAACCTGTGTGTATCACTTTAACTAGCGCCCCATCATTGGATTTAATGGGAGGAATAGTACCCCATTGTTGCTATCAATGAGAAGATCCCAGCCATAGCACCACCTACCATGGGTTTGCATGTTCTCCCTGTGCCTGTGTGGGTTTCCCCCGGGTACTCCAGTTTCCTCCCACACTCCAAAGACATGCTGTTAGGTGAATTGGCTCCTGTCTAAATTGTCCCTAGTATGTGTATGTATGAATGTGAGTTAGGGACCTTAGATTGTACGCCCCTTGAGGGTTAGGGACTGATGTGAATGTACAATATTTGTATGTAAAGTGCTGCGTAAATTGACGGCGCTATATAAGTACCTGAAATAAATAAAATAGGAAAAACTAAAGCAGCCACCTCACCAAAGGTCTGGTAAACATTCTACACTTTTGTGTTTTGGTTTAAATACACTGAAACCTAGGACCCAGCAAACATATGCATCCATTAACAACTGAAAAGGTTAAAAAGTCAAGCTCCAGCTCTAATTGGTAAATGTACTGACAAGTCTGACTCCTGAGAACGGTCTCAGCCTTCGCTAGCATTACATATACCGTATTTTCCGGCGTATAAGACGACTTTTCAACCCATGAAAATCTTCTGAAAAGTCGGGGGTCGTCTTATACGCCGATATACGGCGAGCCAGTGTCAGGGCGGCACTTTTTCGAGGGGCGGCACGGCGCCGCCCCCCCCTCCTCCTCCAACGGACACTAAGTACAGGGGTGGGCAGAGGGGCTGCTGTACCTTACCTGGCTCCGGTCCCACGACGATCCAGTCCAAAAAGCGCGGCTGCTCCTTCTTTCAGTTCGGCCGCTCGATGGTCGCGTGGCCGCTCGGCTCCGCCTCCTCACCGGTGATTGGGCGCCAGCACTGGAAAGGCACACAGGCGACCAATCACCGGCGAGGAGGCGGAGCCGAGCGGCCCCGCGAAAATCGAGCGGCCGAACTGAAAGAAGGAGCAGCCGCTCCTCTCCCCCACTGACACCAACGATGAGGCACTGTTCTCTCCATTGATACCAATGCTGGGGCACTATTCCTCCCCCACTGACACCAACGATGGGGCACTATTCCTCCCCCCACTGACACCAACGATGGGGCACTATTCTCCCCACTGACACCAACGATGGGGCGCAATTCCTGCCACTGACACCAACGATGGGGCGCAATTCCTGCCACGGACACCAACGATGGGGCGCTATTCCTCCCACTGACACCAATGATGGGGCGCTATTCCTTCCACTGATACCAATGATGGGGCGCAATTCCTGCCACTGACACCTATTCCTCCATGACACCCAATGATGGAGGCAATGGATGGGGGCAATTCCTGCCACTGACACCAATGATGGGGCGCTATTCCTGCCACTGACACCAATGATGGGGCACTATTCCTCCTCCCACTGACTAATGATGGGGCACTATTCCCCCCCACTGACTAATGATGGGGCAACTATTCCTCCCACTGACTAATGATGGGGCACTATTCTCCCCACTGACACCAATGATGGGGCACTATTCTTCCCACTGACACCAATGATGGGGCACTATTCCTCCCACTGACACCAATGATGGGACACTATTCCTCACACACTGACACTAATGATGATGGGCACCATCATTGGGGTGTCAGTGGGAGGACATAGTGGCCCATCATTGGTATCAGTGGGAGGAATAGTGCCCCATCATTGGTGTCAGTGGGAGGAGTAGTGCCTCATCATTGGTGTCAGTGGGAGGAATAGCACCCCATCATTGGAATACCATACTGAAATACCATACCATATTGAAATCAAATCTGATGTTTTTTCATTTTTATTTGGTGTGCGTTGGAAGAGGAGTAGTCTTATACGGCGAGTATAGCTCAAACCCTATATTTTAACAGGAAAAGTAGGGGCTCGTCTTATACGCCGGAAAATACAGTAATTGAATTGTAATGACATAACATAGAAAAGTGCCAGCAACTGCATTTAATATGATTTCATGATGCACTAATCCAAGATCAGGAGACAACTGTGAAAGCTTGTGGCAAAGTACATTAAAAGGAGCACAAAATGATGCATAAAATATCCAAGTCCATATTGCTCACAACAGTTTCTAGCTGAGTGTAAGCAACATTCAACACATCTGACTGCATTACGGCCTTCACTATCCTGTCCAGCTACGGGTTAACCATTGTGCTCAATAGCCATTAGTTAGGTACAGAAGGGAGTGGGTGAGGCACTGTTTGAGGAATCAAAACGGTATTTGCATTTGTCAAGAGGGTATCAGGAGGTGCGTTTTTCATCTTCATTTATTCATTCTTCGGGCAGCACAGTGGCTAAATGGTTAGCACTTCCGCCTGGCAGTACTGGGGTCGCTGGTCCGAATCCCAGCCACGGCACCTCCTGCTTGGAGTTTGCATGTTCTCCCTGTGCCTGCGTGGGTTTCCTCCGGGTACTCCGGTTTCCTCCCACACTCCAAAGACATGCTGGTAGGTGAATTGGCTCCTGTATAAATAGCCCTACTATATGTATGTATGAATGTGAGTTAGGGACCTCAGACCCCTAAGTGCACTTTTTGTGTGGTGTTTTTGCACTTGCACTTTTTTGTGAAACACTTACGGGTTTTTTTTCGTTGTAGTTTGCACGTTTGCGGACTTAAAAAAAAAAACCAAAAAAAAAAAAAAACTGTATGTATGAATGTGAGTTAGGGACCTTAGATTGTACACCCCTTGAGGGTTAGGGACTGATGTAAATGTACAATATATATGTAAAGTGCTGTGTAAATTGACAGCACTATATAAGTACCTGAAATAAATAAATACATTTATTCCATTGGTTTGGCAGGGTTGGGGGGGGGGGGGGTGTAGCAAAGTAGATAAGAGGACTTATGTTTTTTTATGCAGGCCATAGACGGGTCATTTATCAGTTGAAATTTCGTCCGCATGAAAAAAAATCGGCTAATAATCACGCTGTTAGTGGGGCCAGCCCGTCGGGCGTTTTTCGTGGATCTTCTCATTTATTTTTATCGGTCATGTTGGAAAATCCATGAAAAACAGACGTTTTTCGTGGACATTGGTGGCAGCATCGCTGCCAGCAACCACCGATTTTTCATTTATAAACGACCCGTCTATGGCCTGCCTTAGTGCAAGGTTAAATTTAAAGTCCATGGGTAAAGATCGGGTTAAAAGAAGAAGTGACAATGTCAAAGATATAAATAAACATCATGCAATCTGTGAAGAACAAATGGCTTTGCGCCCTTGGCACCGATTCTTGGCTGCTCTACATCAGAGCACAGAACAAATAGACAGCCAACAACCACAGCACCTGTTTAACTTTGGTGATCTTTCCTATGAGCTCTTCTGCGGAGATACTACCAGCGATGACCTCCAGTGGGATTCCATTGTCCCCGATGAAGAAGCTGGAGGGGACACATACCACAGGATCTACAGGAAGGCTTGTCAAGGAGAAATCACGTGATCAGAGGCTGTGCATACAGGATGTACAAAATCCTTTCTGATCCCATTTACCAATGTCTTAAATGACTCTCTTCTAGGATAGCAGCCAAAGAGCTACTCGGCTGCCCTTACTGCAGTCACGGCATGCCAACGCTCAGCCCTAATCCAGCCTTAACGTGGTTCTAAAGGCTTTTTACCTTCAAGCATTCTATGATTATGAGTGCATTGTAAGTGCTTATACCAGGGGTGTCCAAACTATGACCCTCCACCTGTTGAAGTACTACAAGTCCCATCATGCCTCTGCCTCTGGGTGTCTTGCCTGTGGATGTCAGTCTTGCAATGCCTCATGGGACTTGCAGTTCCTCAACACCTGGAGGGCCATAGTTAGGACACCCCTGGCTTATACCAATGAATTTCATTGGTATAAGCAAGCATTTTTACTGAATGAAACCGATTCAGTCAGTAGTTTTTGTTGTAATCAGCTGTGATTGGCCACAGCCGATCACATGATACAGATGAGCTATGATTGACCATGTCTGCACATGTGACCAATCACAGCTAGCAGCACAGTTGTAAGCAACGAATGGCATGAAAGGAAGCTATTCATTGTTTACAACTGTCATGTGATCTGCTGTGATTGGTCACAGCAATCACATGACAGTGGTAGCGGGGCCGGTGTAGTGATCTGTCATCGGCCGTGTCCGGTGGACAGATCGCGCCCGAGGACGTCACATGATGTCCTCCCAGGATAATAGGGATCCTGCTCGGCTGTCATCATACAATAGGCTGGGTGGGAAGGAGGTAAATATTTATGTTTTGCAATATTTAAAACTTACATTTATTTTTGGAAGCGAATACTGCACAAGAAGGAAGACAGCAATATTGTGAAACTACGACAACAGTCTAGTGTGCCGTCATCCACAGAACCATCTCCCTCCGGTGACATGTTACAATTTATTGTCATTCCTGAGCTCAGAGTACATTTCCACGCGGATACATTGTATACTTTTCACTTCCTGGCCAGTGCGGAGTTCCTCTCATTGCCATTTTGTACACTGCTAAAATACCGCCAGCAAACACCAGGCGATAAACAACAAATGCGCTGCTTTATTAGCGAAGTGACTATAATGATTTATTTTTTGTGGCATTTATCTATTTTAACAAAATGTACGGTATTTGCGTCACATTCAATATTTTAACTTTGATGAACTGACTTCTATTACCTCACGCGAGAATTAAATAACAAAAATAATAATAATAAAAAAAAAAAAAAAGTCACATGACCTTTCACTAACACCGCCATCAACTGCCACTAAACTGGATCAAGCCCTGATCTAGGTAAAGTGGATGTAAAGGATTAAGTTTATTTACCATCATGCATTCTTTGCATAAAGGTAAAAAAAAAAAAAAACCCTTCAGTATACAGCTTCCCCCCACCCCAGTCCCCCCTTATACTTGAGCCCGATCTTGACCCAGCGATGTGCACAAGAGCCTTGGCTCTCTGAGGACTCTTCCTCCTCATTGGCTGAGACAGCATTGACAGTTACTGGCTCCAGTTCCGGTCAATCACAGCCAGTGAGCTAACAAGAAAGAGGGGGTGGGGGTGGTTCCGAGCCGTGTGTGAATGGATATGCAGAGCAGTGGCTCAGGAGCGAGCCTGCTTGGGTGCCTCCATAGCAGGCTGCTTGCTCTTGGCGCACGAGGCAGGAGGGAGGGGCCAAGAGTGCTGGGGAGGGACCAAAGAAGAGGAGCATTGGGGCTGCTCTGTGCAAAACCACTGCACAGAGCAGGTAAGTATGACATGGTTTTTTTTTTCTTGGCTCTGAGAGAAAGAGGTTGTGTCCTCGAAACGCGTTAGCCAGTTGGTCATCCAGGGTTCCATCGTATGGACTCAGATGTTGTTTGGATCATACATCTTGTTCAGTTTGACATGCCTGTGTTATGTCCATTGTGAGTATGATACCTATTTTGTTTCTTCAATAAAATTATTTTAAACGATAATGCACTAGGTCAGTGCGCCATTTTTCTGTTTCTCCATTTGTATCCAGTGTATTTGGACCACCCCGGTCTGTTGAGGGCAGCAAGCAGTGCATATTCCAGAAAATTCCAGAACATTCCTATTGGGTCTACTGAGTCCTTTCCTAGCGCAGGAGTAAATTGTTTGTTGTGATGGTTTTTTATTCACCTTTATTCCTTTTTTTCCCCCTAGCAGAGCTTTTTTTTTTTTTGCACACACTTTTCCCCTACATTGTATATTTTCCTCCTTGCTAGTGGAGAAATAACACAGTGACAGGCTATAGAGCAATTGATCACTGTGATGGCCAATCCAGAGCTAATCCTTCCGGTTCCTGATCATAATACAAGACCCAGGCCTGTCATGTGATCAAATGCGTTTCCAGCACAGAGGAATACATATGTGGTGCCCAGGAACAAAGACATTTTCCTGTAGGTCAGAAGAGAAGAAAAATGGAGTGTATCCAGGTGTCAGATCACTTCCAAAAAACAATATTAATATTTTGGTGCCACATCGTAATTAAACTGTAGGTACCACAGGATCGCGAAGGTGGCAATATAGTTGTATGTCAACATACATTAAACATATATAACATGTCAACATACATTACTGTATTAAATGTTTTTCTATAACTGCCTAGAGATCATTTTTTTATTTAAGTGGTGACATGCTTGGTATTGTCCTCAAATGACAGAATAAATACAGATAAACAGCAGGTTCAACTGACAGGAGATGACGCAAGAACTCAGAAAATAAGAATGCATAAAATAAGTAGAGCTTGAAAATAACATCTGTGATCAGCGGATACATCTAAAGAAAAAAAAACAAACAAACACATACATGTACAAACAGAGCGAAGGTCAGAGACATCCACATGTCTGGAAGAGTGCCCATAAAGTGCCGGTCATGAATGTTCGAATTCTGAGCTGAACTCAGGCTTATTAAAAGTCCAACATAAATCAGCTTCTCAACCTTTTTGCCCCCAAAAGGAAACTTTATATAAACGGAGCCCTGCATTGAAAGCAACTTGGTGTCATGCATAATAAATAATATGACATCCCCTAGAGCAGGGGTCTCCAAACTTTTCAAAGGGCCAGGTTACTGTCCTTCTGACTTTAGGGGGGGGCCAGATTGTGGCCAGTAGGGGTAGAAAATGTCCTGGGAGCAGCATCAGTGAGAATAAACACGGCCTCAGGGTTTGTGGTCAGTAGTAGGGCCCCGTCATTGGCATCAGTGGGAGGAATAGGGCCCCGTCATTGGCGTCAGTGGGAGGAATAGGGCCCCGTCATTGGCGTCAGTGGGAGGAATAGGGCCCCGTCATTGGCATCAGTGGGAGGAATAGGGCCCCGTCATTGGCATCAGTGGGAGGAATAGGGCCCCGTCATTGGCATCAGTGGGAGGAATAGGGCCCCGTCATTGGCATCAGTGGGAGGAATAGGGCCCCGTCATTGGCATCAGTGGGAGGAATAGGGCCCCGTCATTGGCATCAGTGGGAGGAATAGGGCCCCGCATTGGCATCAGTGGGAGGAATAGGGCCCGTCATTGGTCAGTGGGAGGAATAGGGCCCCGTCATTGGCATCAGTGGGAGGAATAGGGCCCCGTCATTGGCATCAGTTAGGGCCCCGTCATTGGCATCAGTGGGAGGAATAGGGCCCCGTCAGTGGGAGGAATAGTGCCTCATCATTGGTATCAGTGGGAGGAATAGTGCCCATCATTGGTATCAGTGGGAGGAATAGGGCCCCATCATTGGTATCAGTGGGAGGAATAGGGCCCCATCATCAGTGGGAGGAATAGGGCCCCATCATTGGATGAGAGGAATAGTGCCCCATCATTGGTATCAGTGGGAGGAATAGGGCCCATCATTGGTATCAGTGGGAGGAATAGGGCCCCATCATTGGTATCAGTGGGAGGAATAGGGCCCCATCATTGGTATCAGTGGGAGGAATAGTGTCCCATCAGGGAAGAAATGGTGCACCATTGTTGGTGTCTGTAGGAGGAATACATCTGGCCCTCGGGTTGCAGTTTGGAGACCCCTGCCTTAGAGTATTTGACACCCAGGGTGGATTTTTGCCCCCCCCCCCCCCCTCCATAGTTACCAGAGGGAGCAACAACTGAATTATATAGCAGTTTTCGGAAAAAAACAAAAGTAAAAATAGAATTCAAAAAGGGTAATTTTTCAGTATACATTTTTTATTATAAAAAAAAAAAAAAAAAGTTTCCAGTAAAAGGATACAGATCTGGGAGAACTGAAGGCAGGTCTCACTGTAAGGAAGAAAATAAAACAAATATATTATATACAACCACAATCATATTCACACCACTCAGTACAGTCTACAGAAAATGTTGTCTTGGTCTGGAAATACAGCTAATGTCTGGAGTACTAGATTACTACTACCTTCTGCTCTCTAGTTCCCGTGTCACCGCCTCCCATTCTCGCCTCCAGGACTTCTCCGGAGCTTCTCCTAGCCTATGGAACTCCCTATCCCAATCTGTCTGGCTATCTCCTAATCGATCCACCTTTCGATGATCCCTGAAAACCTCTCTCTTTAAAGAAGTCTATCCTGCGTCTACCTTGTAAACTGCCATTTATTTCCTCCATCAGCTCATCCCCCCCACAGCTATTACCTTTTGTATCACTGAACCCTTCCTCCTAGATTGTAAGCTCTGATGATCAGGGCCCTCTGTTTCCTCTTGTACCAAATTGTATTGTAACTGGAATGTCTGCCTTCATTTTGTAAAGCGCTGAGCAAACAGTTGTCGCTATATAAATTCTGTATATTAAATAATAGTAATAAATACAAAGCTGAAAGTTAAATATATTTACATTTTGTTTCCCGTTTCTTCCTTTCTCCCCTCCTCACAATGAAAAAGGTTTAAATAAAACCTTCCTATACTTTATTTTAGTGATATTATTACTGGGTCTCTGTGCTTTCTATACAATACAGGCAGATCAGGACTGGTGGGAGGGGCTGACAGGGTGCTGTGGATAGCTTTCTGAAAACATCCTAGCACCCTCTTATAAGAATATCACATCACACTACTCCTCTCGAGAATCCTCAGCCCTGATGCAAGCAATGGCGAGGCTCACGGGAGGATGAATTCACACTGGAACAGTGAGCTTCTGGATCGCTTTACTGCACGAGCAGCTGTCCAGTGCGATGCACAGTTCAGCTCATCACACAGCTCCTTTTTTTGGTTTTGTACAAACTTTATGCAAACTGTACAAAACGTACACTTAATTTATGGCGATGTACAGCAGCAGGCTGCGCTGCAGTGCTGTACAGTGCCATGCAATTCGTCACACTGCAATAAAAAGCAGCATGTCTGCATCTTATCACAGCACGCTTCAGGCTGTGTTGCAGTGTAAATGGGACACACAGGAAACAACTGTCTCCTGTGTGTCCTTGCGGCTACAATGCAGTAAAAAGCCCATCACTGCACAGTTTGAATTCAGTCTGAAAGGGTAGGACAGGGGCTGAACTTTCTTGTACTGCTTCAGCCTGCCACAGCCATCAATAATATTAGCGGGCACCCAGGTAAATATGGAGGCATTACCGGGCACTCAAATATTGAGGCTGCCACTGCTGACTTCCTTCTGAAATTGCTAGTTGCCTGGCTGTCCTAATTATTCAACATCTTTAGCAATTTAGGAATCACAGATATGGAACAGGAAGACAAAGCAGAACTTCTGAAATCAGACTTTGCTCAGATTTTTCCTTCCATGTCAATGGCTTAAAGCAGGGGTCCTCAAACTACGGCCCGCCAAAGACGTTTATCCAGCCTGCCGGGAAAAAAAAAAACCCAGCGCCTGCCGGCAAATAGCTAGGCAGCTTGCTGGGTCCTTGGCCATGAGGACTCAGTGATCGGCAGCCTGGAAGCCCAGGATTTTACCTGCTGCAGCCAGAGGAGCAACAGGAGAGGAGGAGCGCACACCAGGTACAGTGCATTGCGGTGGCCAGTGCACTGCAGTGTCCAGTGCACTGGCCACGCGGCCCGTGCACTGGCCACCGCGGCCCGTGCACTGCAGTGCACAGTGCACTGCAGTGTCCAGTGCACTGGCCACGCGGCCCGTGCACTGCAGTGTCCAGTGCACTGCAGTGTCCAGTGCACGGGCCACGCGGCCCGTGCACTGCAGTGTCCAGTGCACGGGCCACGCGGCCCGTGCACTGCAGTGTCCAGTGCACGGGCCACGCGGCCCGTGCACTGCAGTGTCCAGTGCACGGGCCACGCGGCCCGTGCACTGCAGTGTCCAGTGCACGGGCCACGCGGCCCGTGCACTGCAGTGTCCAGTGCACGGGCCACGCGGCCCGTGCACTGCAGTGTCCAGTGCACGGGCCACGCGGTCCCGTGCACTGCAGTGTCCAGTGCACGGGCCACGCGGTCCAGTGCACTGCAGTGTCCAGTGCACGGGCCACGCGGCCCAGTGCACTGCAGTGTCCAGTGCACGGGCCACGCGGCCCAGTGCACTGCAGTGTCCAGTGCACGGGCCACGCGGCCCAGTGCACTGCAGTGTCCAGTGCACTGGCCACGCGGCCCAGTGCACTGCAGTGTCCAGTGCACTGGCCACGCGGCCCGTGCACTGCAGTGTCCAGTGCACTGGCCACGCGGCCCGTGCACTGCAGTGTCCAGTGCACTGGCCACGCGGCCCGTGCACTGCAGTGTCCAGTGCACTGGCCACGCGGCCCGTGCACTGCAGTGTCCAGTGCACTGGCCACGCGGCCCGTGCACTGCAGTGTCCAGTGCACTGGCCACGCGGCCCGTGCACTGCAGTGTCCAGTGCACTGGCCACGCGGCCCGTGCACTGCAGTGTCCAGTGCACTGGCCACGCGGCCCGTGCACTGCAGTGTCCAGTGCACTGGCCACGCGGCCCGTGCACTGCAGTGTCCAGTGCACTGGCCACGCGGCCCGTGCACTGCAGTGTCCAGTGCACTGGCCACGCGGCACTGCAGTGTCCAGTGCACGCGCGGCCCGTGCACTGCAGTGTCCAGTGCACTGGCCACGCGGCCCGTGCACTGCAGTGTCCAGTGCACTGGCCACGCGGCCCGTGCACTGCAGTGTCCAGTGCACTGGCCACGCGGCCCGTGCACTGCAGTGTCCAGTGCACTGGCCACGCGGCCCGTGCACTGCAGTGTCCAGTCCAGTGCACTGGCCACGCGGCCCGTGCACTGCAGTGTCCCGTGCACTGGCCACGCGGCCCGTGCACTGCAGTGTCCCGTGCACTGGCCACGCGGCCCGTGCACTGCAGTGTCCCGTGCACTGCAGTGTCCCGTGCACTAGAGTACAGTGCATTGCAGTGTCCAGTGCACTAGAGTACAGTGCATTGCAGTGTCCAGTGTGCATTGCAGTGTCCAGTGCACTAGAGTACAGTGCATTGCAGTGTCCAGTGTCAGTGTCCAGTCCATTGCAGTGTGCATTGCCGTGTCCAGTGTGCATTGCCGTGTCCAGTGCGGTAGAGTACAGTGCATTTTTGTGTGCAGTGTGTCAGAGTCCAGTGTGTATTGGAGTCCAATGCGTTACAGTGCATTTTAAATATTGTACAGTGCAGTGCCCAGTGCAGTGCCCAGTGTGCACTGCAGTGTCCAGTGCACTAGAGTACAGTGAATTGCAGTGTCAGTGTCCAGTCCATTGCAGTGTGCATTGCCGTGTCCAGTGTGCATTGCCGTGTCCAGTGCATTGCCGTGTCCAGTGCGGTAGAGTACACTGCATTGCGGTGTCCAGTGTGTCAGCGTACAGTGCATTTTTTGTGTGCAGTGTGTCACAGAGTCCAGTGTGTATTGGAGTCCAATGCGTTACAGTGCATTTTAAATATTGTATTTTTTCCTGTTTTTTTGCACTACAAATAAGATATGTGCGGTGTGCAGTGCACTGCAGTGTCCAGTGCACTGCAGTGTCCAGTGCAGTGTGCATTGTCAGTGTCCAGTGCATTGCAGTGTCCATTGCACTAGAGTACAGTGCATTGCCGTGTCCAGTGTGCATTGCCGTGTCCAGTGTGTCAGTGGCCAGTGCATTTTTGTGTGCAGTGTGTCACAGAGTCCATTGTGTATTGGAGTCCAATGCGTTACAGTGCATTTTAAATATCTTATTTGTAGTGCAAAAAAACAGGAAAAAATACAATATTTAAAATGCACTGTAACGCATTGGACTCCAATACACAATGGACTCTGTGACACACTGCACACAAAAATGCACTGGACACTGACACACTGGACACGCAATGCACTGGACACTGACACACTGGACACCGCAATGCACTGGACACCGCAATGCACTGGACACCGCACATATCTTATTTGTAGTGCAAAAAAACAGGAAAAAATACAATATGTGCAGTGTCCAGTGCATTGCAGTGTCCAGTGCACTAGAGTACAGTGCATTGCAGTGTCCAGTGCACTAGAGTACAGTGCATTGCAGTGTGCATTGCAGTGTCCAGTGCATTGCAGTGTCCAGTGCACTAGAGTACAGTGCATTGCAGTGTGCATTGCAGTGTCCAGTGCATTGCAGTGTCCAGTGCACTAGAGTACAGTGCATTGCCGTGCGCAGTGTGCCTTGCCGTGCGCAGTGTGCATTGCCGTGCGCAGAGTGCATTGCCGTGCGCAGAGTGCATTGCCGTGCGCAGAGTGCATTGCCGTGCCCAGTGCATTGCCGTGCCCAGTGCATTGCCGTGCCCAGTGCATTGCCGTGCCCAGTGCACAGTGCATTGCCGTGCCAAGTGCACAGTGCATTGCCGTGCCAAGTGCACAGTGCATTGCCGTGCCCAGTGCACAGTGCATTGCCGTGTCCAGTGCGGTAGAGTACAGTGCATTGCGGTGTCCAGTGTGTCAGTGTACAGTGCATTTTTGTGTGCAGTGTGTCAGAGTCCAGTGTGTATGAGTTCCATGCGTTACAGTGCATTTTAAATATTGTATTTTTTCCTGTTTTTTGCACTACAAATAAGATATTTGCGGTGTGCAAAGGAATTTGTTCATATTTTTTTTTCAAACTATAGTCCGGCCCCCCAGCAGTGTGAAGGTCTGTGAACCGACACCCTGTGTTTAAACAGTTTGAGGACCCCTGGTTTAACACATTGAAGCCAGAGACAGCCAGGCAACTAGCATTTGAAGAAGGCAGTCACCATAAGCAGCACACATATTTCCTCCAGTACAGGCTTCCTTTAAAAGCAGGATGAGCCACACCAATTACACGCGGTATCTGCTACAGTAGATCAGCCATTCCAGCTTCAGCAGCTGAAACAATATGTTTCTATTTAGAGATCCAAATTACTCTGCCATTATTACACATACCTGCAGTCTAACAGACCCCTGATGTCCCCCTAAGGAGGACCTGTCACCTGCCCATGTCAGCACAGAGGGGGCTTGTTAGCCTCAATGTTATAGCAATACAGCTAAAGTTGTTCTAAAGCAGCGGTTCTCAACCAGGGGGTCGCGACCCCTTTGGGGGTCGAACGACCATTTCCCAGGGGTCGCCTAAGACCATCGAAAAACACATATTTCCGATGGTCTTAGGAACCGAGACGCCGCTCCTGTCTCCGGCGATGTGTGGGCGGGATGATATGCTGGCGGGATGATATGCTGCCCCTGTCACCGCCTCCTCGCCGCTGATTGGCCACCGGAACTGTAGCTCATACAGGCGGCCAATCACCGGCGAGAAGGTGGAGCTTGGAGAGGAGGAGCCGAGCGGCAGCGCGCGGAGATCGAAGAAGATCGAGGGAGCTGCAGGAACGAGTGAAGAGAGAGGCCAGAGAAGGAAGACAGCTGACAGGTAAGTGCAAATTTTTGCTGCTGCAGCCAGGTATGCAGGCTGTAGATGGGAGAGGGAGAGAGCGAGCCCAGGCTGGAGCAGGGGTCAGCAAGGTAAGTATCATTGGTGTCAGTGGGAGGGATAGTGCCCCATCATTTGTGTCACTGACACCAACGATGGGGCACTATTCCTCCCCCCACTGACACCAACGATGGGGCACTATTCCTCCCCCCACTGACACCAACGATGGGGCACTATTCCTCCCCCCACTGACACCAACGATGGGGCACTATTCCTCCCCCCACTGACACCAACGATGGGGCACTATTCCTCCCCCCACTGACACCAACGATGGGGCACTATTCCTCCCCCCACTGACACCAACGATGGGGCACTATTCCTCCCCCCACTGACACCAACGATGGGGCACTATTCCTCCCCCCACTGACACCAACGATGGGGCACTATTCCTCCCCCCACTGACACCAACGATGGGGCACTATTCCTCCCCCCACTGACACCAACGATGGGGCACTATTCCTCCCCCCACTGACACCAACGATGGGGCACTATTCCTCCCCCCACTGACACCAACGATGGGGCACTATTCCTCCCCCCACTGACACCAACGATGGGGCACTATTCCTCCCCCCACTGACACCCACAATGGGGCACTATTCCTCCCCCCACTGACACCCACAATGGGGCACTATTCCTCCCACTGACACCCACGATGGGGCACTATTCCTCCCACTGACACCAACGATGGGGCACTATTCCTCCCACTGACACCAATGATGGGGCACTATTCCTCCCACTGACACCAATGATGGGGCACTATTCCTCCCACTGACACCAATGATGGGGCACTATTCCTCCCACTGACACCAATGATGGGGCACTATTCCTCCCACTGACACCCACAATGGGGCACTATTCCTCCCACTGACACCCACAATGGGGCACTATCCCTCCCACTGACACCAATGATGGGGCACTATCCCTCCCACTGACACCAATGATGGGGCACTATCCCTCCCACTGACACCAATGATGGGGCACTATCCCTCCCACTGACACCAATGATGGGGCACTATTCCTCCCACTGACACCAATGATGGGGCACTATTCCTCCCACTGACACCAATGATGGGGCACTATTCCTCCCACTGATACCAATGATGGGGCACCATTTCTCCCACTGATACCAATGATGGGGCACTATTCCTCCCACTGACGCCAACAATGAGGCACTATTCCTCCCACTGATACCAATGATGGGACACTATTCCTCCCACTGATACCAATGATGGGGCACTATTCCTCCCACTGACGCCAATGATAGGGCACTATTCCTCCCACTAACACCAATGATGGAACACTATTCCTCTCCACTGACACCAATGATGGGGCACTATTCCTCCCACTGACACCAATGATGGGGCACTATTCCTCCCACTGACACCAATGATGGGGCACTATTCCTCCCACTGACACCAATGATGGGACACTATTCCTCCCACTGACACCAATGATGGGACACTATTCCTCCCACTGACACCAATGATGGGACACTATTCCTCCCACTGACACCAATGATGGGACACTATTCCTCCCACTGACACCAATGATGGGACACTATTCCTCCCACTGACACCAATGATGGGACACTATTCCTCCCACTGATACCAATGATGGGGCACTATTCCTCCCACTGACACCAATGATGGGACACTATTCCTCCCACTGATACCAATGATGGGACACTATTCCTCCCACTGACACCAATGATGGGGCACTATTCCTCCCACTGACACCAATGATGGACACTATTCCTCCCACTGACAGCAACGATGGGACACTATTCATCCCACTGACATCAGTGATGTGGCGCTAGTCCTCCCACTGCAAAATTACAGTTATGAAGTAGCAACGAAAATAATTTTTATGGTTGGGGGTCACCACAACATGAGGAACTGTATTAAGGGGTCGCGGCATTAGAAAGGTTGAGAACCACTGTTCTAAAGGCTGAAGTTTTTTTTTTACCTTCATGCATTCTATGCATGAAGAAAAAAAAAAAAAAAAAAAAAAAAAAAAAAAAAAACACAAAACCTTTTATATACAGCTACCCCCCCCCCCCCCCCATGCTTACCTGAACCCCATCGCAATCCAGTACTGTGCCCTGGCATTGTCCCTCCTCACTGCACAGATTGACAGTAGTGGGAGCCATTGGCTCCAGCTGCTGTCAGCCAAATTCTGTGATGAGGGAGTGAGGGGCAGGTTTGAGCTGCCCTGTCTGTGTCAAAGGATGCAGACAAGGCAGCTCAGGAGTGAGCCCACACAAGTGCCCCCAAAGGAAGCAGTTTCCTATAGGGGCACTTGCTGAAGAGAAGGAGCACCGACAGGGGACCCAAGATGAAGAGCATTAGGGTTCCTCTGTGCAAAACCATTGCACAGAGCAGGTAAATATAATGTGCATTATTTTAAAGGAAAAAGAGGAATCTTTAATGTTACTTTAAATCAGGGTGGATAAAAATCAATGATTAAAAAAAATAAATAAAATCGGATTTTTTTTTATTTAAAATCAGATTTTTTTTAAATAAAATGCTTTTTGAGGAAAATATATTACCATCCAAAGGTTATTCCATCATGAAATAAAGATTAGTTTTTTAATTATGTAGAATAAGGCTGTATATGTTTAATTTTTTTGGTAAATAAATTCCATGAATCCATTCACAATGTCATGCTCTTCCAGAGGTTTTTGTAAGATTATTGGGCAGTTTCTCTGCCTACAAGATATTATCACAGATGTTGGTTTACTTTTGCAGTTCTCAAAACTGAATTTGACTCAGCGGAGATCACATGCCTCTTCTTCACAGCAAAAATGTTATAACATGAACAGAGTTAAGAAAAAGACCTTCATCCTAACTTCTACAAACCTATGAATACAGAATCAACCCTTCAGTGCTAAGTTTCAAGAAGTTCAGTGAATAGAATAGAAACAATAATTTTCTGATTGTTTGGAGTGGAATAGATCTGCACAAGAAGAAAGTGAAACTAAGTGTGAGGAGGAAGGGGCTGACAGTCTACGTTTCTTCAAATATATATATTTTGTTTAGCCAAATTAGTTACCAAACATGGATGTTTAAGCAAATCACATATGCTGGAATGTTATTGTTTCAGTTGAATAAATCTATTTAAATTGTTATTATTAAGGTAATGATTATTTTTCTCCTTCCTAAGTACAACAGAAAAGTTGTCCAAATATGAATGATTAACCTATTAAACTGGGGATAAAAAAACTAATATGAAAAGTTGTTATTCTAAAAATCTTCATCTACTACTTGTATATTAAAGTTATACCAGCAAGAATTAGTCTTTATGTAGAAAACTAGGATTTATATCAAGCCTTACTAGCGAGTTAAATATTTAAAATCCACCCTGCTTTAAATTGTAAAAAAACAGGAAGAAAAAGACTTTTTTTTTTTAAAGTACCCCCTACACATATGCAAATATTCCAATGGGGCGCGAATGTTTATGTCAACAGTGACAACATCACGTATGAGGTATTGCCGTGAACGTCAAAGCAAGAGCAATAATTCTAAGGCCATCACTCACAGTTAACTCTAAACTGACAAACTGTATTAGCTTTTAAAGCACCGCATATG